CGGACATATCACAGCCCATGTCGGCAGTGTCAATTTTGGCGATTTTCATTAAAATTAGCCCCAAAACTTTTCTTCTTTTTTTTTGCACATTGTCTCAACAACTTTGGGCAAAAAAAACATTTTCTGTCTGGATTTTCAGTATTTGAAAATCCTCTGCCTGGTTTCCTGTAACTTCTCGCAGTGAGGGAACCACCAGTGCTGGACCTCAGTGTCCGGGCTGAATGATGGGGGTGGACGCTCCTTCAGGTATACTGGGCCGAGGCCGCTTAGGGCCAGCACCAACATACTGGGAGCCAACATAGGTCTTGCAGGACTGGTGTTATATTGTCCCGATGGCCGCTCCCAGTCACTAGTTTAGCTGCTGCATTCTGGACAATGATTAGTTGTCATTTCCAAGTAACCTTCTAAGGTAGCCCCACAGAGAGCACATGGCAGTAGTCCAAGCGGGAGATAACCAAGGCATGTACCACTCTGGTGAGACAGTCTGCGGGGAGGGAGGGTCTCAGACGGAGCTGGTAGACAGCCACCCTGGACGCAGAATTGACCTGTGCCTCCATGGACAGTGGTGAGTCCAAAATGAAGGTCTCAAGGAGGGCCAGTGAGGGGCATGGCCAGGGGAGAACATCCAAGGGCCACACGGAGAAGTTTGGAGGGCCAGAGGCTTCCCATCCCTGAGGCACAGCCTTAAAAAGCCCCACCACCTTTGAACACTCAAAGCTGTTGGCTTATCAGCCGCAAAACCAGAACCGCAAATCCCAGAAGCGTTGGATCAGCTCCTCGGGTTGTTTTGGGGCGGAAGACCCTCGCTGTGAATGTTCGCTAGAAATCTGGTTCTGCTGCCTCCGCCCTTCACGGTCGGATCCGTTCTCCTTCTGCCAACAGCTACGAGTTCATGAGGAGCAGCTTGGTCTTCTATCGGAACGAGATCCTGAAGATGACAGGGAAGGTGAGTAGCTTCTGGGCCGGAAAGCAGGTGAGGGTGACCAGGAAGTAACGGCCGGGACAAGGATGCACAGTTTCTGCCCTGGGTCATCCTGTGATACAGTGGTGCCTCGCAAGACGAAAATAATCCGTTCCGCGAGTCTCTTCGTCTAGAGGTATTTTCGTCTTGCGAAGCAACCCTATTAGCGGCTTAGTGGATTAGCGCTATTAGCGGTTTAGCGGCTATTAAAGGCTTAGCGGCTTAGCGGCTAAAAGGCTATTAGCGGCTTAGCAGCTTAGAAAAAGGGGGGGAAGCGAAAAAAATTGCAAAACTCGCAAGACGTTTTCGTCTTGCGAAGCAAGCCCATAGGGAAATTTGTCTTGCGAAGCGCATCGAAAAACGGAAAACCGCATTCGTCTTGCGGGGCACCACTCTACTATGGTTCGAAGTTGTGTTTTGTTACATTTTACTCCAAGAAGACCCATAGAACCCAATAAGGCAGATGTCTATATACAAATGGTTTTTTTAAAAAAGATGTGATCCCATTGGGATCCCAAGATGAAATGTTGCGAAGCTCCTAGAAATATGATGCCAACTTGCCTGTGGCTCCTCCAGGGTTTCAGATGCAGGGAGAGGGGGGGGGGAATTCCCAGCCTTGCCAGGGGTTGAACCCGACACCTTCTGCATGCAGGGCATCTGGTCTGCCACAGAGCTATGGACTCGTATCCCCCACCCTTTTAAATTTAGCATCTCCAGACATCCAGCCCTCAAAGCCTCTCCTTTCGCCACAGGACCCCCTGGAGCAGTACGGCATCTCGGGGGAAGCCCGCTTCCAGCTGGGCGCACGGAAGGTATAACCCCGAGCACTTGGATCTGGGCCAGCACCTCACCATACCACCAGCACCCTTGCGCAGCTCCCCGAGACTCCAGGGTCAGGACTGTACGCCGACCGAGTGAGTTGCTTTCACGAACTTGCAGGATCTCCCTCGTGCCGCCAAGAGGGTGACACCACCCAGCCACCTGCTTCCTCCTAGCTTTGGGGGGTTGAAACGAGAGTGGAGATTTGACTCCAGCGGTTGCCGGTTTTCTCTCCTTCCAGGGCGCAGAGAACCTGCTATTCAGCTCAGAATCGTGCTTCCTCGTGTGTGTAAATGTGCACACAAACAACATGGGCAAGGGTGCTCCTGGAGCTGAAGGAAGGGGCAGGGGCTTCTTGGAATCGTGCTTGATTTTCATTAACATCCCAAATCGGGTTTGCTCCCAACTTTTGTGCTGAGATTTGAGATCTGCGATGCACCCAGAACACCTCCGGCAGAGTTTCCCCACCGCAGCTCTGCATGAGTAACTGCTCTGGCTTTGCACACCTTCCCATCGGCTGCCTGGGTTGGGTGGGAGCCACTATGCTGTCCCTGCGAGGGATACTGGGGTGCTGAATTACTCCCCCTGCACCGCACCGCCCCCGTGAAATGGGCTGTGTGTGTCTATGAAGTCATTGCTCCCAATCCTGAGCCCCTCCCGCCCCCCCCCCCCGGCCTCAGCAATCCTCACCCAGGAGGGGGCAACTCTTTACTTACTCTGTAAGGAAACATTTTCAACAGGAGTGGTGGGAGCACACTCATTTTAATTCCCCAAGCAAGCATGCGCATTCACCTAGTGCAAGGTTTCCCAAACTTGGGTCGCCAGCGGGGTTTTTGGACTACCAACTCCCATTAGGACCAATGATCAGGGATGGGAGTTGTGTTCCAAAAACAGCTGGGGACCCAAATTTGGGAAAGCCTGAACTAGAAGGCGTTGGAGAGAAGAATGCCAGACTACTGGAGCAGCAACACGGCCATCTCCCTAAGGTGCTCGGCCATCTTTTACCGTTTTGTTGTGCCTTGCTGGCACCCCCTGAGTCAGAGCTGCTCTCTGCGCCTGGCAACACAGGGAAGTGAGAAGAGCCTCTTGCCACTTTCCCAAGCTAGGTGCCCAAACTCTGCGCGGTTCCAAGCTCACTCCAGAGCAGGTTCCTTGCTTGCTGGGGTGGTAGAAATCTCCCTTCCTCAAAGAAAAAATACCTTGTTCTCCATCCCTCCTTGCTCTCTTCGTTCCTCTCTCTCCTCTGCCCAACTTTTGGGACTGGCAGCTGAATGTATTTTTATATATATATATAAAATCTGCTGTGAAATTTAGAGGCGTTTTAAAAACTCACTGAAAGCTGTGGTTCTCTGGCTGATATCGGACTCAAAACTCTGTCCGGGGGGGGGGTGCTGGGCTGCTGCTTTCTCCAACCCTGCCCTAAGAGGCTGAATTTCACTGCTGCAGGTGTGAGGCAGAGGAATGTCTCTTCTGCAAGAGGCAGGGGAAACAAGACCAGGGAGTCTGCAATCCTCGGCCAGTGGTTTTGGACGATGGGAGCTTGTGAAATCCATCGTCGTCTAAAGGGGCAGAGTTTGGGGGACGAATGTGGGGGGAGAGAGAGAAATCACCAGCCACAAAGGGCGGCTAGTTATTTAGAGGTTTTTAAGAGGCTGTAGAAATGTAAAGTGTACTTTATCAGTTTACATTCATCTTCTGTACTCCTCCTGCCCCAAGACACCATTGCCTGTTGGATAATTGGCCAGTTTTATCACTTCTGTGCATTAAACCAGGAATTTTACTGTTTTGTTGACATGCCCAGATCCCCTTTTGTTATGTCCACACTGATTTTCTTGCCCCTCTAATAAATGAAACTACTGTCTTGTTGGTTGGCTTTTTGCCTTTTCTGTGTGAGAGAGGTGGGAATAGGCTGGGACCAGTTCTGCATTCAAAAGTGCATTCATGCAAGGATTTTTACCCCAGTGCATTGGGATAGCAGCAGCAGGAGGCCAGGAAACGTCTCCTCCCCAGTCACACCATCCTTAAATTGCTGGAAAGGTGTGCTTGAACTCTGCTGTTGCATTTTACTTGCCAGAATGGATGGAGGATTGTGGGGAGAGGTATCACTGCAACGAGCCAGTATGTTCGGATCAAGGGAAGTCACAGTCCTGTTCTATCTGCCTTGATCGGGCCACACCTAGAGTCCAGGGTCCACTTCTGGGCACCACAATTTAGGAAGAATGTTGACAAGCTGGAAGGTGTGCAGAGGAGGGAGACCAATATAACCAAGGGTCCAGAAACCAGACCTGATGAGGAATGGTTGAAGGAGCTGGAAAAGAGGAGACTGAGAGGAGATAGGATAGCCATGCTGATCTCCTTCTACCGGTCCACAATAGAAAGTGTCCTTTCCTACTGCATCACGGTGTGGGACACTGGTTTTATATCAACTGATAGGAAGTGCCTACAAAGGGTGGTGAATACAGCACAAGGTATTATGGGCTGTCCTGTGAATCCACTGGGTGACATCACGGAAGAACGTTGCCTCAGGAGAGTGAGGAAAATTCTCAGGGATGATTCACACCCTAGCCGGCACTTTCTTGATCTCCTGCCCTCGGGCAGAAGATATAGAAGCATGATTAGTCACACCAACAGGGTAATGAACAGCTTCTGTCCGTGGGCTGTTAGGCTGGTAAATGAAAAGATAACAGGGCAACTGGCTTTCGGGTTTGGTGTGCGTGCGTCAGTGAACGAGGGGAATTAAGACTAAGAGAGCTGAGTGGCGGGTGCTCGTGTAATCTCACTGCATACAAGTTGTACAAGTGACAATAAAGTATTTCAATTCAATTTCAATTTCCCAATTATCTCAAAGGCTGTCACATGGAGCAACCTTGTTTTCTCCTGCTTGGGAGGGTAGGACTTGAACAAATGGCTTCAAGTGACATGAAAAGAGATAAAAAAAACTTTCGACAGTGGAATGGTTTCCCTCAGGAGGTGGTAGACTCTCCTTCCTTGCAGGCCTTTAAGCAGATGTTGGGTGGCCTTCTGCCGCAGATGATTGAGTTGAGATTTCTGCATTGCAAGGGGGTCCCTTCCAACACTACAGTTCTATGATTCTACAAAGGTGAAAACTGCATTTATCGCTCAGCTGACCTCTAACATGTGGCCCCAGGAGGGAACGAAGGCCTCTCTGGCTGTGAAACCTGGACGTCTCTTACAAAAGAAACCAGACAACTTCAGAAAGTATAGAAGCACCACCACAAGGGTATACAGTGTATTAAAATACATACATTTTTTTTTTAATATAAAGACAAACTTCAAAGCCATTTTCTTTTTTTCAATTACAAATCAGGATGAAGTGCGGGGGGAGATCTGAAGTGGAAGTTAGAACAGAAAGATAAAACTTTTTTTTTGCAGTGCAGAGAATCGGAAGGAATGGAAGGGGCTGAAATATATAGATAAAAGATTATTACGTACATATATACACAACGCCAGAAGTAGTTCATATGGATCTATGGAAGAATGACAGGTCGAGATTTCATGGAGCAAAGTCTCAAAAACAAAGCCAAAAACAAACAAACAAACAAACCCCAAGGTACATCGGATGAAAGACTGAAATTTAAATAGAATTCATTTTCATGGGCTAATGTATACAAATCAAGTTCCTAGTTGCTGGGAAAGAACATCCCATCTATAAGAATATGGGTACTCCCTTCAATCCATTTACAAACGGATTCCTTTTATTTTACATTTTACAGATTTAATTCCTGAGCAACAGCAATTTCCATCACTGACTGAATACCCTCCCCCCCCCCGCCCACACCCAAACTCCCTGTTTCGGCAAGGCAAAGCCTCAGTTCATTGTGGAGGGGGGAGGAACCAGATAATTCCTTAACCAGCCCCCCCCCAAGGGCTGTTTCTGCAAAGCACGTTTCTCAAAAGGCTCAAAAAAACGCAAAGCGCTGAAAGAAGGAGCTGATCTACTCCACATTTCTCCTTCCTATTTTTTCTTTTCAATAGATCTCCATCCCATCAAGGCTAGAAAAGGGGGGGTAAGGTGTTTTTTAAGGTTCCAATGTGCATGTGGGTGAGGAAATCCAGAATTATGAAGGACTGAACAGGTGTCCAGCCAACACCTGCAGGGAGGAAGACCTCTTTTGAACCAGATTTGCAAAAACAGCATCCTGCAACCGAGACAAAAGATATTTTGCAAATGGGATGCTTGCCATTGACTCCCCGGCACCCACCTTTCTTTCAGAGTACCACAAATTCCTATGCTAGTTAAACACAGACAAGCGAGCCCATTTCTATGGAAGTTCTTATTGGATATTAAGATATCTGGCAAGGCTGATTTCAAACTTCACAGGAGATTGTGGCAGCCTGCTTGATGGACTGCATCTACTACAGTGTGTCCGTTAGACTGATCAGAAAGTAGTTTTTACCCTGCGAAAGGTTATTTCCCCCCCTGTGGGTCTGTTTCTGGGAGGGGTGGGGGAAGCGCCGTTAGCACCCTACCCCAGAAGCCCCCCGCCCTGCCCTGATTCTGAAGCAATTCTACAACTTTTAAAAACCAAGCGACTCCACTGGGTGCAAACAAACCCCACCACCGCTGTTGCAATGACCCGCACGCTTTCACAAAGAGTACGCGCACCATCTCAAACCAAACCCAACTTGCGAGGACACACCGTCCTTCGCAACCAATCCCAAAGTTTCTTCACCACTTTATCCAAGTTGCAAAGAAGGGGTTTGCGGGGGGAGAGGGGGAGAGAGAGAAGCAGAAAAGCACAGGATCTGCGCGTGTTTCAGATTCTGTGAGGGTGTGCACTCCCCGCAAAAAAAAAAAGGATGCTGTCCATACTCATGCCACAGGCATGGCTCTTAAGATTTCAAAGCCAAGCACGCTAGACCTGTACGAGTTCTCATGCCCAACGGTTTAGGAGAAAGGTTGTGTTTGGAAATGGAATGGAAGAGGTTAGCCGCGAAAATGAGGACCTCGTCTTGTAGTCTGCAGAGTCCGTTTGCCATTGCGAAGCCCCTCCAAGATTGCTTTGGACTGCCGAGGGAGGGGCCCCAAAATGGCAGAGGCTGGTCTAGGATAACCTCAGATAAGGTGGAGCCCTGATGACTTAGGGAGACACAAACACACCCAAATAGCACCATATTCTGCACCAGAAACAGGGTCAAGCCTTTAAAGAACGAATACTCTGCCCTCCTGAAAAATAAAGTTAGAAGACGAGTTCCCTCTACGCCCCTTACACAACTTAACATAATCTCTGTGTGCTTGCAGACAAAGTAAAGCATCTTAAAGCAGGTTTTACTGGCAAATAATAAAATAGAATACCCCAGCCTCCCTCCTTTCCTTGTGGCCTGTTGTCGCCAGGTCGGCTGGGTGAAAGGAATGCCCCCCCCCGGGGGTGGTGGTAAAAAAGAACCCAGCTAAGCACCTTAGGGTTTTGTTTTGCATCTAGCACCAATGAAGGGAAGAAGAAGCAGCAGCAGCAAATCCCACTCAGAAAAATAAATAAATTAAAACAAGGCAGGGGAGGTCCCAACAGCTCACTACAAGAAGCTTCTCCCAAGACAAAGTGGTGTGGGTTTCCATTTCAATGCACGGCCCTGGGGGGTTGTCGACAGGGAAGCCCCCGAGATTCCATCTCTGTACCAGAAGCAGCAGGGGGGCAAATATGACAATTGTCCTTTGGGGGTGATCTTTCCGGAGGCGGGGCGTCCCACCCCAGCGGCCGAATGGATCGCCCAAGTGGATTTGTGTTTCGGCGTGGAGTTCTTGCAAACAAGACAGCACCAGCAAGAAACCTAGCTGAGTCCTCGAGGGGTCGGGTAAGGCAGGCTTTGGATTTGGACTGCCCCAAGTCTGAACCGCCTGGTTAGTTGAAAACAGGCAGCTTGGTCCTTGTATCTTTGGCCAGCTCTCCCGTGCTTTTATAAAATCAAAACCCTGGGCTGGTCAGAGGAGAAGGGCCCACCGCCCTATTGCCTGCTTGGCTCAACACTGCTATGGATAGGGGCCCATCCGGCATTTTAAAGACTATATTCCGAACGGAAGATCAACACATGAAACACACATTTGCGACCTCAAGAGTACTGAAGATGAGAAGATGGGCTGAGGGGAGATGGAGGAATTTTTTTTAAGAGGGGGAGAGAAAGCGGTTGCTGGAGAGAGCTCCACTCAAGCACAGCAAGTCATGGTTCCCGCGTCAGGTATGAGAAATTCGCACCCTACGAATTTAACGCAGGGCGGAAGGCGAAGAGGTGAACAAGCAGAAATCCGTTTTAGTTTCAGACCTAGGAAAAGATTTGCAGCTGACTGGAGAAGACTTGTAAGAACTAGGCCCTCAAGTGGGATTTTTTTTTATAAAAAAAAAGAAAAGCAAGCTAAGACTAAAGTCAAGGGAAGGGAGAGGGAAAGAAAGCACAAACTGTATCCACACTTTCCCCCAAAATGGAAATTTGCAGGCATCGTGGGCCTGCAGGGGAAAGATACCAGAGTGTGGAAGGAGGGCAAGAAAGAGAAGCTGGCCAGTGATGCGACAGAAGGCAGCGGAGATTTATCCAAGCAAGATAAAGGGTTTTGGCAGCCAGTCCACATTTATTACAGGGTTATTTCCGTGCTGGTCCTGCGCAGCGGAAGGGAAAAAAAGGGTTGCCAGAGTAATGAGCTGCATCCTGCGCAGTCCTGCGCAGCGGAAGGGAAAAAAAGGGTTGCCAGAGTAATGAGCTGCATCCTCCCTGTTCCTTCTGGGGCGGGGGAACCGGAGCCAAAAGGAATTCATTCGGCTTGCAATGAGAGTTTTAAGAAACCTGGAAACGGGGAGGTTTCGGTTCTCTGCCGATGCTGAGCAGACCGACAGGGGCAAGGAAAAATAAGCAGAATGGTGAAAAGTCTCTATGAGAAGTCAGCTGTTTGCTCCAAGACCTTAGCAAAGGGGAGAGAGCGAGAGCGCAAGATAGACAGATTCAGGGAAAAGCAACAGCAAAAGACTATCTTATAAAAGCCAGAAGGTGGATCTTGGAAGTAAGGGAGGCAAACGTGAGACTTTAGGGACCGCTGTGGTATTGAGGGGAGCAAGAATGATCCCCTCTGCTGCGATCATCACAGACTTTCTTATTCTCATGCCCTTATCATTTCCTCCCTGATTCTAGGCACACCTGAGGAAACAAAGCTGCTATTTGTCTCCCGCTTCCAATTACACTATGGACACAACCTGATAAAAAAATTAGCAGAAAGCATACGAGTGTGTATGTGTTTTTAAACAGATCTATTCCCCCCCCCCGCACATCTCACCATTTCCAGAAAGCTGTGTGCCTTTAAAAAAAAACGTAAGAATTATTCCTATGCACTGATCACCCAAATCACAATTTATTGTTATAAAAAAATCAGCAAAGCACCAGTGTTGTCAGGCGAGATACAAAAAAAGGTAAGTTTGATTGCATTATGCACATGTGTGTATGTGTGTGTGTGTGTGTGTGTGTGTGTTTATCTCTGATGCAGGGGTGTGAAATCACATTTTTAAAACACGACCCACTGAGAAACAACAAGGACAGAAGCAGTGAGCGGACATGTCTTTGACGGAACGTACAAAGCCGCGTGTCTTGATCAAGTATCAAAAATCTTGCCGCCGACAACACACGAAAAGGATGACAGAACCCCAAGAAACAAAGTTGGCAGCAGGCCCAGCGCAAGAACGGGCGGCCTGCTTTCTCAAGTTTTCCAGTGCAAGCAGCCTGGCCAACAACACCAGTGGGATGCCTCTGCGTGGCCATCGCCTCCCCAAACAAATCATCCCTGGGGGAATATTCCAAGAGCGGGAGATGGACACAAACAGGAAGGGAAGAGCACCGGGCAAGGATGACAAGCACCCTTGCTTCTTCCAAGGAACAAAGCAACGAGCCAGACATCCGGGGACCCAGTCTGCTGCCTCTGTGGGGAGGACAAACTGGGAGAGATCCTCACCGAGGGCAAGGCAGAGCCCCCAAAGATGGCATGATTAGAAAATTGTAAGCAATGGTTTTTTGTTTTAAAGGAAACCTAGAAGACTACAAAGCCTGGACCCGGGCAAGAAAGGGGCCCAAGCCTGAGGCGGAGTCCCCAAATACGGGTGAAGCTGCCCTTGGCGTGAGAAAATGCCTGCCAGTGCTTGGCTGCCTGGGGGGGAGCCATTCCACCGGGAAGGGAGGGGTTGCTTTCATTGCCACCCACCCCAGAAGCCAGTGGGTCAGGGTCCCCACCCCCACCCCACCTTGAACTCTGAACACGACCCTTTTGGGTTTCACAGTTAAGGCAGAGGAATCCCCTTCCCCTCGCTTCGGAAACGCACCTGGGGGTGTCGGTTTCTGGGGCGGGAGAGGCTATGTTTTATCCCCCACAAGCACCATATCTGAATTCTGCTGGGAAGCCGGGAAGGGAGTGTGATGGCCCCACCTTCAAATAAGCATTACATGACATCGGTGGTCAGATGGGGGGAGGCAGATAGCCGGACGCCCATGCAAAACGACTGGCTCCGTTCCTCCCTGGCCCCTGCTCAACGCCAGCTACTGCCCAACGGCCAACTAAGGTTGCTTTAAAGGGGCCAGCTCCGAGGAGGACAAGCCCTGGATTCCTCATTTCCCTGGCTTCACTACAGAGCGTAAGAGACACGGACGATGACATGGACCAGACATCTGGTGGGAGCGGGTGGAATAAATTAAGAAGAGTCAGACTCGCTCTATATAGGAACGTGGCTTGGTATTGGTCACCCCCCGCAAACGCAAACAACCAGGCCTCTGCACCCCACAAAAAAACGAAAGCACCACGGGGGAGCTCAGCCCAGAGAGGCACACGTCTGTCGGGCACGGATAGCACCAAGAGAACCTTTTGGATGTGTCTCCGCTTGTGTTGGCCAGTCCTTTTGTTATTAGCAGTATTTCGTTTCTTAAAAGTCCTCCTCCTCCTCCTCCTCTTCTTTCCCCACCTCCCCCTTCCCCGGCGTGTTTTTCCCCCCGGTTCCAAGACTTTGTGTGGAACGAACACACACACAAGAGCGGAGGGGGGGGTTGCCTTTTGTGAAAACACGTGTTCTCAAACTTTAAAAAATATATAAATATCTAAACTATATCAACAATACAAATCGGAGGCCGTTGTCGCCTTCTGCAGTTTGAATATATCTAGAAAGAGAGAGATATACATATACATATATATTATATAATATAATATACATATATATATATACACACACACACACAGACATACACTTAAGATTTCACAGTAGCATTTTCTTCCGGCTTTTAGGCTTAGGACTCAAGGGTTCCATTCCGTTTGCCTGTCTCTTTCCTCGTCTGGTTTTCCTGCACGTGTCCAGTAGTAAAGAGAGATGGGGGGGACGGGTGGAGGAGCAGAAGCCCCTCTCTACAGCGGTTGAGGGCAGCACCTTCAAGTGGAAGTGGAGAGGCGTTGGTCCAGGCTGGCCTTGCATAGGTCACGTGGGGGGTTGAGGTAGAAGGTCCTTAGTTACCTGTGGGAACAGGGGAGGAAGGAGAAGAAGCACACTTTAAGCCAGCGGATTATGGACCGTTCACGAAACCAGGAAATCAAGGATGGCGCGGGCAGGGCTGGGGAGGTTTGACCCAGTGCGGCCCTCCAGAGCCACTACCTGGCCCTCAGAATTCTCACCTCGCTTGACCTGCAAGACAGAGCCAGTGTGGCACAGTGCTGTTTCCCAAACTTGGGTCTCCGGCTGTTTTCGGACTACAATTCCCATCATCCCTGACCACTGGCCTTGCAAGCTAGGGATGATGGGAGTCCAAAAGCAGCCGGAGACCCCAGTTTGGGAAACACTGGGTTGGAGCGTCAGGCTGGACATGGGAGAGCGCAGAGTTCCAATCCCCCTCTCGGCCACCACGGCATTCACTGGGTGAGCCCAGGGAGCAGCTCACGGACTTCTCTCAGCCTATCCTATCTCGCAGGGCTGTTGTTGCTGCTGCGCGGGGAGAACCAGTGCTATTTTTCTAGAAAAAGAAGTGCCATGAACACCTCCTTTATTCTCTTATAATGGCAAGGACGCCCCCCCCCCGGGAGAAGTGCTGGGACAAGAGTTCTGGCGAGTTCCAGCTGAAAGAAACGCCCTGGGAATAACCAGGTACACCACACCTTGAGCCCTTGGGAGGAAGAAGAAGAAGAAGAGTTTGGATTTGATATCCTGCCTTTCACTCCCCTTCAGGAGTCTCAAAGCGGCTAACATTCTCCTTTCCCTTCCTCCCCCACAACAAACACTCTGTGAGGTGAGTGGGGCTGAGAGACTTCAGAGAAGTGTGACTGGCCCAAGGTCCCCCAGCAGCTGCAGGTGGAGGAGCGGAGATGCGAACCCGGTTCCCCAGATTACGAGACTACCGCTTTTAACCACTACACCACACTGGCTCTCAAGGTGGGATATGAATACAAGAATGATGATAAGGAGGAGTTTTATTTCTTTGTGGGCAAACAAGGCCTCTCTCTTCCTCGACCCTCCAAACTCGGGTTCCAGTTATTGCAAGTCATCGCCAGTTATTACCGTATTTTTCGCTCTATAAGACGCACCAGACCACAAGACGCACCTAGTTTTTGGAGGAGGAAAACAAGGAAAAAAATATTCTGAATCCCAGAAGCCAGACCAGCAAGAGGGATCGCTGCGCAGTGAAAGCAGCAATCCCTCTTGCTGTTCTGGCTTCTGGGATAGCTGCGCAGCCTGCACTCGCTCCATAAGACGCACACACATTTCCCCTTACAGTGGTGCCTCGCAAGACGAAAATAATCCGTTCCGCGAGTCTCTTCGTCTAGCGGTTTTTTCGTCTTGCGAAGCAACCCTATTAGCGGATTAGCGCTATTAGCGGTTTAGCAGCTATTAAAGGCTTAGCGGCTTAGCGGCTAAAAGGCTATTAGCAGCTTAGCGGCTTAGAAAAAGGGGGGGGGAGCGAAAAAAATCAACAAGACTTGCAAGACGTTTTTGTCTTGTGAAGCAAGCCCATAGGGAAATTTGTCTTGCGAAGCAACTCAAAAACGGAAAACCCTTTCGTCTAGCGGGTTTTTCGTCTTGCGAGGCATTTGTCTTGCGGGGTACCACTGTACTTTTTAAGAGGGAAAAAGTGAGTCTTATAGAGCAAAAAATATGGTAATTTTTCAGGTCCAGGCATGATGCCATCTGCCTGGTAATAACAATTTAGTCAGGAAACTGCTTTGTGATGAGTGAGGCCACTGGTCCAACCAGCTCGGAAATGTCTGCACTGGCTGGCAGCTGCAGCTCTCCAGAATAGGAGCCTCTCCCAGCCCTGTCTGGAGACGCCATTCTGCATGCGAGGGCAGCAGCTGCACTGCTGACTACCACCCCCCCAAAGAAGGCAGTGAAAAGGGCCGCGAGATCAACCAGGAACAACAACAACATGATTTATATACTGCCCATCTGATCAGGTCACCCCAGCCACTCTGGGCAGCTTCCATCAAATCAAAACACAGTAAATCAAACATTAAAAACCTCCCGATACAGGGCTGCCTGTCTTCCAAATGTTACCAAGAAGGCTCTCTGCCTGGTTCCCTGCAACCTCACTTCTCACAGTAAGGGAACCGCCAGAAGGCCCTCGGTGCTGGACCTCAGTGTCCGGGTAGAATGATGGAGGTGGAGACGCTCCTTCAGGTCTACTGGGCCGAGGCCATTTAGGGCTTTAAAGGTCAGCACCAACACTTTGGATTGTGCTTGGAAACGTACTGGGAGCCAATGTAGGTCTTGCAGGACCGGTGTTATATGGTACCAGTTACCAGTCTGGCTGCCACATTCTTTATTTTCCGAGTCACCTTCAAAGGTAGCCCCACGGAGAGCGTATGGCAGTAGTCCAAGCAGGGCATGCACCACTCTGGCAAGACAGGGCGCAGGCAGGGAGGGTCTCAGATGGAGCTGGCAGACATCTGCCCTGGACGCAGGATTGACCTGTGCCTCCATGGACAGCAGTGAGTCCAAAATGACCCCCAGGCTGTGCACCTGGTCCTTCAGGGGCACAGTTACCCCATTCAGGACTAGGGATTCCCCCACACCTGCCTGACCCCTTTCTCCCAGATTCAACCTCAATCCATTAGCCCCCCCCCCCACAACCACCTCGCAAGGGGACAAAGTTTCCACTCGGCCGCAAGGGCAGACATGTCTCCGAAGAAGCTGCCTGTCCCGTCCCACCCGCCCCTCCCGGCCAGCCTTACCTTACGGAGCACGAACGCTTAAAGGGTCAAGCCGAGCCCATTACCGCGGCTTAACCCCGGGGAGGTGCGAAGCGTAAGGAGACTGCAGGCCGAGCGTGACCCACATAGCGGGCGCGGCGGAGGCAGCGGCGCTGGGCTGCGGGATCCCGGGCGCGGCCTGGGCTAGCGCCAAGCGGGGCAGAGGCGGGTGGTGGACAGTGAAGGAAGGGCGGGAGGATTTGTGCTGGAGAGAAGCTAGCTTAATAGACAAAGCGGAGTTAGCGGGGGAAGAGGAGGATGGGGGCGGCAAGAAAGCCTCGGAGCCCGGAAGGGAGGCAAAGGCCTGCAGGAGGACGGGGTCGCTGCTGGAGGCGAGGAGGGGAGGGGGCGGAGGCAAGGAGATGTTGGGAGGTGGGGTGCGCCGGGCCGGGTGCGCTGGGGTTCGCGCGAGGTGCTGCGTCTCGCCGGACGGGGCCGGGGGCGAGTGGAACGATGGGGAGGCGGGAGCCACCTGCAGAGAGTTCAGGCTCAGAACGGCGGTGGCGGCGCAGCTGGAGACAGCGCTGCTGCCAAAGTGGAGGGAGGAGGAAGAGGAGGAGGAGAAAGACGGAAGAGAAGGCGAGGGAGCAGAGGAGGAGGAGGAGGAGGCAGAAGGCACCACATGGTTAAAAATACCTGCAAACAGGAGAAAGAAACAGACTCAGCAGGCGGAACTTTGGCACGGCTCACAGCGAGAGAAGCAAAAACAACAACGACAACGTGACGCAACACAACCGGGGGGGAAAATAATATATTTTTTTTAAAGCAAGCAAGCAAACTTAAAAAAGATCGCAGCAGCCGCAGCCTGACAGACAAATGCGCAGCATGGAGAAAATGAACGACAGCCGCAGCGGCAAGCGATGAGCAGCGATGGTGTAGAAGCTGAGCGGGGTAGAGGCTTGCTCACTTACCTGCCTCCTTTCATGCGCCCGGGGGAAGGGACTTTGGCTGAACTCAGAGACCCAACAGCGCACCCATTTCTAAGGCCCTCTTTTTGGCGACAGCAAGCTAGTCTCAAGGAAGCTACTGCTGCTGCTGCAGCCACTCTGCCCCGGAAACACGACTTCTCCCAAAAAGAGAGGCTCTTAGGAGGAGGAGACCTTCAGGCACGCATGTTTGTGGGGAACTGGCATGTTTCCTCCTTGGTTCCCCTTGCTGGCTGGGGGAAGACACCAGGCAACATTGGGGGAAGGCACCAGGTAGGCCAAGGATGGTCTGTGTAGCCCCGGCCCCTCCCCCCCACACCTTTGTGGAACACAGCTCAGCACAAGCGGAGTGGGGGATCTCCCAGGAAAGAGCGCTTGAAAACCTGGTTTTGACCTATAAAGCCTTAAACGGCTCAGGACCGCAATACCTCAAGGAGCGCCTCTCTCTATGTGAACATACCCGGACCCTGAGAGCCTCCAAGACCCTTTTTTGGGGGTGCCTTTCCCACGAAAGGTCTAGAGGTTAGCAACACGAGAACAGGGCCTTTTCTGCAGTGGCTCCCCGCTTGTGGAATGCTCTCCCCAGGGAGGTTTGCCTGGTGCCTTCATTAAATACTTTTAGGCACCGGGCAAAAACATTCCTCTTCAACCAGTCCTTGGGCTGATAAATACCCTGCAGCCTTTTAAATGTGTCTGTGGGAAGGGGAGTAGTGTTTTGCTGTTTTGGTTTAATTATTTACTGGTGTTTTGTCTTGTATTTTACTCTATGAACTGCCCTGGGGTGTCCTGATGAAGGGCAGTATATAACTTCAATATATACGCATAAAGAAATAAAACCCAGGGTTGCAGAGAGGGTGCGAAAAAGGCTGTCCCAGCCCCCCCTTCTCAGCTGTGCCCCCACGGAGGGAAGAACCCCGAAGCTCCGCCTTACCTCCAACTGTTCCACCTGTCACCCCAGGGGAGAAGCTGCCCATCGTGTGAGAGTTGGTCAGTCGGGTGGCAGCCGACGAGACGTGAACCAGACTGGCGGCTGGCATGGAGCTGAATAGGGACTGCAGTACCGAAGAGTTCGTCACCATAGGGCCCAGGGGGAACTGCGAGCCAGTGGTTAGCGAGTTCAAGAACGGGTGAGCCACCATGGAGGAGGAGGAGGTGGGCACAGAGGAAGGAGAGCTGCCCGTGGGGGCCACAGACAGGCCTTTGCCATTGAGCAGGCCGCCAGGTGGGGTGGCGGTGGCGGCAGCGATGAAGAGGTTGTGGCCGTTCCTCAGCTCGCCGGCCTCCCTTTCCCTGCCCTTCCCGGCCTTGCTGCCGTGTAGCACCGAGGACTTGTCCAAAGCGGCTCCCAGGCGGGCGCTCAGCTCGCCGGGGTCTTTGCCCTTGAGGCCGCTGGGCCAGTTGGAGTCTTCCCCTTTGGCCAGGGCTCCCAGGCTCTCCAGCTGCCTTTTGCTCAGGAAGGGGTTCGTCTCGGAGACCCCGCCGCCCTCCTTGCTGCGCTGCGCCAGGAAGCTCAGGGGTGAGCTGCCCGCCAGCGCCGCGGCCACGTCCGCAGCGGCCTTGTGCGGGAGAGGAGCACCGTCAATAAAGCTATGTAAACCGAGGTCGGCCGGAAGCCCGCTGTTGTAAGCAAATCCATTCATGGTCTGGCCGAGTCCGTCGAGGGCGGCCGAGGCCCCGTGCTTCCTCGGGTGGGCCGAGACCTTGCTGTCGCCCCCCGAGCCGTCCTCGGAGGGCGGTCGGAAGGCGAAAAGGGAGTTCTGGCTCAGCGACGGGGCCTGCAGAGTACTGTCCACTGCTTTGGTCAGGTTGATGTCGGAAATGGGAGAGAAGGTCGACTTCCACTTGCTGCTGTTCATGTTTTCGCTAGCCTGCTTCCTCCCGGCTAAGCTCATGCCTGGGATTTGGGGAGGCAGGGGAGGAATGTGTGTGTGTGAGAGAGAGAGAGACACACACAAGGAGAAGGCGAGAGAGAGAGAAGCGGATGGGGCGAGGAAGGGGCAAAGAGACGCAGACAGACAAGTGGAGCAGGAGTGAGAGAGGTAACAGGAGAAGAGACAGAGCAAAGGAAAGCACCATGAGCACCAAAATAGCCACAAAGTAGAACCTCCCAACGCTTTTAATATGCCTTGGCATTCCTTCATTACATACAGAAGAAGCATCATTTTCAAGACCAGCCTGGCGAATCTAGAACGGTATTTGACACTCAAACATAGCTAATATTCTTTCCATAGGTGAAGACAGCTTTTGTGCTCAGTTACCTAATCCGTATGGAGCTGCACTTGTTTTACATGCACCTGTTGTGAACACCCAGCACCACCCTAAGCAGGCAGTCCCAAACAGCTTTTCCCCCCGACCCACACCAGCGGCCTCCACACTTACTGTTCTCCATCGGCTTCTGCGGAGATTTGCTTTCCAGTGATATCGTCGCGATTTTTCTCTCAATTCTAGGAAGGGAGGAAGAAGAAAAGAAAAGCCGTTTACCTTAAGCCAGGGGTTCCCGAACATCTCCCCACCCCATGGGTCACGAGAAAACTGCTTGCGGTTTTAGTAGACCGCTTACATGAGGGTTTCCCAAACTTGGGTCTCCAACTGTTTTCGGGCTACAACTCCCGTCATCCCTAGTGGTTAGGGAAACCCAGGCTTACATGATTCTTCTGCCTGTCCTGACAATTAAAATACCCTCTGCTAGATGCTTTTTTATTGTATTTTCAGAGGCACGTCTGGCACTTTTGCTATACAGCTTTGGACAAATGCTGAGAATGCACCACTGAACCGGCCTTTAACACCTGAGCTCCGTATTTCTAGAACAGGCATAGGCAAACTCGGCCCTCCAGATGTTTCGGGACTACAACTCCCATCATCCCCAGCTAACAGGGACCAGGGATGATGGGAATTGTAGACCCAAAACATCTGGAGGGCTGAGTTTGCCTCTGCCTGTTCTAGAACCTGCATCATTTCTCAGATCATTAAGTTGTTCAAGATCGATTTTAACGTGTTTTGATTTTTGTAACCCTCCCTGGAACTTTAGTGTGAAGAGTTGGGTAACAATTTATCACCACCACCACCACCATAATCATCATTATTTATTATTAATTCAATTTATACGCCACCCTTTATCAAAAGATCCCAGGGTGCTGTACAACATTAAAAACACATTATAGTAAAAGGTAAAGGTACCCCTGCCCGTACGGGCTAGTCTTGACAGACTCTAGGGTTGTGCACCCATCTCACTTAAGAGGCCGGGGTCCAGCGCTGTCCGGAGACACTTCCGGGTCACGTGGCCAGCGTGACATCGCTGTTCTGGCGAGCCAGAGCAGCACACGGAAACGCCGTTTACCTTCCCGCTAGTAAGCGGTCCCTATTTATCTACTTGCACCCGGGGGTGCTTTCGAACTGCTAGGTTGGCAGGCGCTGGGACCGAGCAGCGGGAGCGCACCCCGCCGCGGGGATTCGAACCGCCGACCTTTCGATCGGCAAGCCCTAGGCGCTGAGGCTTTAACCCACAGCGCCACCCGGGTCCCAAAAAACACATTATAGAATGTGGTAAATGTGATAAATAACATTTATCAATGATAAAAACGTAACAGAAAGCATACTATACTGACAGACAGCCTAATAGTAAAATAGTCATTATAATAACAGTCCTCTCCCCCACACTTTCATAGGCCACAGATTATTTAATAGCCATAGGCCTGGGTAAAGAGGAATGTTTTTGCCTGGCACCTAAAGGCATGTAGTGATGGCAACAGGCAAATCTCTCTGGGGAGAGCACCCCACAATTAGGGAGCCCCTGTAGAAAAGGCTTGTTCTCTTGTTGCCACCTTCCGAACCTCTCTGGGAGGGGGCACACAGGGCCTGGGTCAGTTCATACGGGGAGAAGCTTAAGGTATTGAGTTCCTGAAGCGTACAAGTCTTTATTGTTATAAATTGTTATACTGGGAAATTTTTAATGTTTGACGTTGTATTATGTTTTCATATGTACTGGAAACCACCCAGAGTGGCTGGGGAAACCCAGGCCAGATAGGTGGGTATAAATGTTGTTGTTGTTGTTAAACACAAGCAGCAATTAAAGTACAATTGAAAAATCAAGATGCATTTTTAACGGGGACATGCTGCGGACCACCTGAACAGAGCTGGCAGATCGCCAGAGGTTGACAGTCTTTCTTTTAAGCTGTTAAAAATCCTCGCCTGCCATGTAAGCCTTGAGGACAAAACGGGGGAAAGAAAAAGCCACCAATGAGGCAGATCAGAGAGTCACTTGATAGCTTTGGAACACAGAACAGAGAGGACACAATGAGGGAACCCCCTGCTTCTCGGTTGCGGGATCCGAACCCTGGCACCTCCGGACTCCCTTCCCAAAATCCTGGCGAGCAGCTGATGGCCAGTGTAAGCTTGGGAAATGTCACACATTAAAAACTTCCCTGAACAGGGCTGCCTTCAGATGTCTTCTAAATGTCAGGTAGTTGTCTTTGACATCTGGTGGGAGGGCGTTCCACAGGGTGGGTGCCACTACCAAGAAGGCCCCCTGCCTGGTTCCCTGTAGCTTTGCTTCTCGCAGTGAGGGAATGGCCAGAAGGCCCTCGGCGCTGGACCTCAGTATCCGGGCAGAACAATGGGGGTGGAGACGCTCCTTCATTTATACTGGGCCAAGGCCATTTAGGGCTTTCAAGGTCAGCACCAACACTTTGACTTGTGCTCGGAAAAGTACTGGGAGCCAATGTAGGTCTTTCAAGACCGGTGTTATGTGGTCTCGGCGGCCGCTCCCAGTCACCAGTCTAGCTGCTGCATTCTGGATTAGTTGCAGTTTCCGGGTCACCTTCAAAGGTAGCCCCACATAGAGCGCATTGCAGTAGTCCATGCAGGAGATAACTAAAGCATGCACCACTCTAGCAAGACAGTCTGCGGGCAGGGAGGGTCTCAGTCTGCGTACCAGGTGGAGCTGGTAGACAGCTGCCCTGGATACAGAATTGACGATGATAATAATAATTATTTTTATTATTAAAGTACTGAGCCAGGAAGGCCAACAGGCTCGTTTGAAGACAGTTTCCTACAGCAGAGAGGTCTTTCCTACACGAGACCAGGGCCACCGCAGGGGGGGGGTGTTCCCCCCCACCACAAGGTGAGGTCCACACTCACCTGGTGCTGTTGTGGTCATCCTCCGAGCCCTGCTCCTCATCAGAAGTCAGCGGCGAGTAATGGATGCCATTGCTCTGGGTCAGGGGCTTCTCCTTTTTCAGCACGGGGGGCTGGTCGCTGTCCTGGTAGGGAACAGGAGAGTTCTTCAGGGAGTTTTCAGGGGAAGAAATGGCTGTTATTTCTAAAGGCTGGTTAATGTTACTGACCTGAGGAGGAAAGACAGAAGAAGGGAGAAGAAGGAGAAGAGAAGCGTTTAAGGATTGGAGAAGCGCTGCTAACGTTACGGCGTGTTTCGTGGGGGTTTTGCGCTCTTATTTTCTTGCTATTTATAGCGTTTATCCACCCCAAACTGCAGCCAAAAAGGACCACCAGAGCACCTTTTTCCAATTGGTTAACAGGTGACCACCCCCTGGGCCTTAGAGCTTTACATTTAAGGGACACAGCAAAAATTTGTATCAGATCCAGGAATACAAAACTCACTTTCACTCCACCAAATCACAAAATTTAGCATTCGTTATCTGTTTTGTTGCTTTCGTTTTTTTCTACAGTTTCTGCTCCCTGTTTGTTTGGAAAACAAATACCATGTTCTTAAAAACTAATAGACATATATTAAAAGAAACTGCAGCTTCTGCATAATTCCTATGTTTTCTAACTTTGGTTTTGTGTTATTTTTTGTATGTCTATTCTATCTATCTAAGCATAGCAAAAAGAGAAAAGGACAAGGAAGGGAGAGGGAAGGCTGAAGAAAAGCTTGTCCAGCTTCTCTGTTCTAGGGGAGGAGGACAAATGCTTTACTTCAAAGGTGACATATTCTGTTGACCGACATTTCACTGTCTGTGGCAAAGGAGAAGATTATAGGATCAAAGACTCATAGAGCATCCTAACTGCACTAGCTATGAGGGGCTACAGGTTGATATTTATGGGGCTTCTGCAGGTAGGAATGCAAACCGCAAAGGGCTGCACTGAAAGGGGATTGCACAATTTATTTATTATTGATTTCGTAGAATCTACGCACTGCTTATTGGGAAAAAGAAAAAGAAACACCGCAAAGCGGTTTGCTAAAGACAGAACAGTAAAAATCAAGGGGGGAAATCGCAACCCTACTTTAAAACATGCTAAAAGAGATTAAAATGACCTCACCTTTCTAAGCATCTGGGTAAAGGTAAAGGTAAAGGGACCCCTGACCACTAGGTCCAGTCGTGGACGACTCTTGGGTTGTGGCACTCATCTCGCTTTATGTAAGCCGGCATACAGCTTCCGGGTCATGTGGCCAGCAGGACTAAGCCGCTTCTGGCGAACCAGAGCAGCGCACGGAAACACCGTTAACCTTCCCGCAGGAGCGGTACCTATTTATCTACTTGCACTTGACGTGCTTTCGAACTGCTAGGTGGTCAGGAGCTGGGACAGAGCAACGGGAGCTCACCCTGCAATGGGGATTCGAGCCGCCAACCTTCCGATCGGCAAGCCTGGCAAGTCCAAGCTTGGCAAGGGGTTGGACTCGATGGCCGTTGTGGTCTATTCCAACTCTATGATTCTAAGCCTTAGGTTCAGTGGTTTAACCCACAGCGCCACCCGCATCTAGATTTGCCTAAACAGGAATGTTTTTAGCAAGCAACAAAACGAGCACACTGAAGGCAGCGCTGCCTGATATCAATACGCAGGGAGTTACAAAGTGAAAGAGCTAGCCAATTGAGTTCTTACAGATGTGGCTTCCAGTAGCACCTTAAAGACCAACTAAGTTAGTTCTTGGTATGAGCTTTCGTGTGCATGCACACTTCTTCAGATACACACTTCTTCAGATACACAAGTGTGCATGCACAAGAACTAACTTAGTTGGTCTTTAAGGTGCTACTGGAAGGAATTTTTTTTGTTTTGACTATGGCAGACCAACACGGCTACCTATCTGTTACAGATGTGGAACAGGCATTATGTGGCGCCCGCAGAAGGGCCAATTCCACCGACTGAAGCGATCAGGTGGGCACCTGTCAGGTGAGGTGATCTCACCAATCCGCAGAGGGCTCTCGCTCTCTCCCTGTCTGAGTGCCTGGAGGCGAATCTGGCTTGCACAGGCTAGTGGCTGCCTAAACCACCCCATCTGAAACCACCCGAAACAAGCAAGCAAACAAGCAAGCAAGCAAGCAAACAAACAAACCACCTTGGTTCTCACCATGGAGCTGATATTGAGGGGAGACCCCGAAGGCTGAGCAAAGAGCCCAGCCACCGCAGGCAGCGGTTTGCGCTTGGGCGACACACCGGAGTTGGTGCCTGGTGCCCCTGTGGAGGAGCGCTTCCTCCGTCCCCGCTTCTTCCCGTCTTGGCCGCACTCTGCCCGGATGCTTGCCGTGAGGGCGCTGTGCTTGCTGGGTGGGCAGTGCTTGACGGTCCCGGTGGCAGGTGAAATGGTGAAGATGAACCTCCTCTTCCCCTCGCTCTCGGGGTCGGAGAAGGCTGGCTCCATCCCTTGCGGGTCGCCCCTGGTGCCGCCGCCGCCGCCGCCCTCGGCCAGTGCCTTCTGGGAGTCCACGTACTGCAGGACGCCAGCCAGGCCCTGGGGGGTGCCGTTGAGCCTGGGGCTGGCCGAGTGCTGGTGGGCGGGCGAGCTCTGGGCTGAGGCCCGGGAGGGCACGGCCAGGAACGAGGGCTGCTGTGGGGTGGAGCTCCGGGACCCCGCCACGGAGTTGAACAGGCTCCCCGAGCTGGAGGCGTCCTCCAGGGCCGCGTGGTCGATGGTGGGGTTCAGTGGGGCGGGGCTGCTTGGGAACGCCCCGTTGATCGCCATGGAGCCAGACATGTAAGAAAAACCTGCGAGGTTGAAACAGATATATACCAAAAAAGCTGGTTTAATCTCTTGGGAGCTGCAATTGAGTTGGACTATGCCGAATTGGCAAGTTTAGCAAGTAAAATTAAATATCAGGGTGAGACACACTTTAAGAAGGACTGGGGAAAGTTTGTAGATCATTTAAAAAAACTGCTGTAAACATGTTGAAACGCAAGTAGGCCCTGAATAAGAACAGTAGTTAAGATCGTATTTGAGAAAATTCTGGTGAAGATAAGGTGCAGAATAACTGTAATATGCAGCAATATTTGAAAATTTGGGGGAACCATGGAGGGATAAAGGGGAAGTCCAATGTTAATTGACTGCTAACTGGAAAATGTTATATTCATTTGTTTTTGTGGGGTGTGTTTTTTAAATTTACAAATAAAAAATTTGAAGCGCAGACAAAAGTTGGTTAATTTCTTTACGTATGCAACGACAGCAGGAAGAATGTTTCATGTTCGAAACTGGAAAGAGGATGAGGTCTCAAAGAAGGATGATGGCAAAGCTAATAACAAAAATTAAGAGATCAAAACGAGGAATCGTTCTTTGAGGACTGGAAAACTTTTTGTAGAATATCTGAAGAAGTACTGCGATTGCATGAAAATGCAAGCAGGATTTGAAATATGAGCAACGGCAGAAAGACGTTACGGCTAATAATTTAGGATGCAGATATATATGGAGGTAAAATATGCAGTGTCAAAGGATTAACACAGAATATCGGGGAGGGGTGATTGGGAGCCAATGGATAAACGAAACTTATTGTCGATGGTAAAGTACGCAAATATCTGAAAACTAAATAAACCAAAAATTTTTTTAGAGAAAAATACTGAGAGAGATTAAAATCACCCCGCCTTTCTCAGAATCTGGGTAGGCTTGTCTAAACAGGAATATTTACAGCAGGCACCCAAACAGCTGCTTTAACATCCCTAGGCATCCGGAAGGGCTAAAATCCACCCCTTCGGGGAAGTTGGGGTTGAGAAGGGAGATGGGGAACAACTCACCTGAGGTAGCCAAAGGTGGCATCTTTCCACCGGCGGCACTGCTAATGCCGTTATGAGAACTAGCACCATATTGTTTTTCAAGTGTCGAAAAGGAGTCTCGGATCTGGTGGACGGGGCTGGGGGTGCTTCTCTGGAGGGACGAGGGGGGAAACCGGAAAGAGAGAGAGAAGAGAGAAGGGTTGGTTGAGCTTCTGCGGAGGAAACAGACTTTAGGCTGCTGCTCCTGTTAAAAGTGGCTGGACCGCTGGGCAGGCAAGCAAGCGACCGCAAAGAGCGTTAGTCACAGAATCACAGAGTTGGAAGGGACCCCCAAGGGTCATCTAGTCCAGCCCCCCTGCCGCGCATGAATTCTCGTCCAAAGGGGTTAGGAGAGACGCCGCTAATCAACACCAATTGAAGGAGCTGCTTTCACCTCAAGGGATGGGCCAGTTCAGTTCAGTGGCTCCTGCTATGACCTGCAGGAACACCCCACATATCCCAAGCATAGGGTGGGTCTGCATTTCAATTTTTTTTAAAAGAAACAATTGCGGTGGGAGATTGCAGTGATCCCACTGCTCACCTCGCGCCAACTGAAGCCTCGGAGACTGCGGCCACCGAACCCGTCACCTTCCGCCGACTGAGCTGTTATCAACCCAGCCACCCACGGGGGCGATCATAATTTAACGTGGCACTTTTCACTGTACAAACTACGGCGGTGAGCCTGCAGCCCTGCGGAGGTTGTTGGACGCACAGCTCCATTCAGCTCCAGGCAGCGTGGCCAAAGTTAGGAAGGATAGGAGTTGTGGTCCACTTTCTAGAGGGTACCACGTTTGTGTGTCACCGACACACCAGCCACTCTGGGTGGCCTCCAACTCTTCTTAGGTTGGGGAGGGGGGGACCCGCATTGCTCCACATATTGTGCATTTCCCCTCCGTTAGACATGCTTTCACGCAGCTCAGATTTCAAACGATGCCTACTGAATATCTGGCTGGGAGACGGACAGCCTCTGTACATGCGGATCAGGGCCTGCTGAGGATCCTGCACATTAAATTCTATATTGTCCATTGTATGATTCACCCAGAGCTAAATTTATCTTCCCTTTTCAGATTGCCTTAGAAGGTCAACCGGACGATTTGAAAATTAAATGCCTGTTGGCGCATGTTGATAAGCGCATCAGTAATAGGGTGGCACCATTCGCACCAGCGTCAAGAAAGTTAAGGGCAACCTTTCTGGATAGCGCAAGTGCCAACCCCAGGGATGCTGACCAGAAGGAAAGCTGTTAAAATTCTGGGGATTGTAGATTTGTCCTGGTCTGGTGATTGCAATGTCTTCTGTTCTGTAGTTGTGTTATCAGTGCTTATATTGTATTGTGATGGCCATTGGCTATAAACAATAAAATCTACTGCCATTGGAGGGAATACCTCCATTTAGAAGAGGCACCCACTCCTGAGAGCAGAAAACTCAGCTTCTTAGATCGGGATGGGGGAGACTGGCTGCCAAGGGACCACATCTCCCATCAGCCAGCACGGCCAACGGTCAGCAGCGAGGAGAGTTACAAGTCCAACAATGTTGGGGTGGGGGAGGGCACACAGATGTTCCTTGCCCGCGTCCCTTTCTTAAAAAATAAAATAAATTCAAACAACCACTCTCCAAGAGAAGACAAGGGAACGAAAGCAGCAGCAAAACCAGAAACCTAGTCCAAAAGCTGCTTGGCCAGTTTTAACAGTAGAACAAGGATCAGAATTCTTCCACTTCCAAGCCCTTCATTCTGCTTTCTAGACCAGGGTTTCCCCAAACTTGTTGGACTACAGTTCCCATCATCCCTAGCTAAGAAAGACCAGTGGTCAGGGATGATGGGAACTGTAGTCTCCCAAACTTGGGTCTCCAGTTGTTTTTCGACTACTACAACTCCCATCAAACCTAGCTAGCAGGACCCATGGTCAGGGATGATGGGAATTGCAGTCGAAAAACAGCTGGAGAACCCCTGTTCTAGATGAAGCCAGGTAGCAGAACACAGAGGCTGCTCTCTGGGACCCATGAGGACTAACAGAGTGGCATTTTTTTGTTTTTGTTTTAAGAAGGGGGTTGGGGTAAGAAAAGGGAAGGAAATTTCGCAGGAATCTGTGCCACGCATCTGATGAATTGGTCTCCCTTCGGCAATACTGGGAGGGAGTTCTCAAGGAGTCAAAACTTTGGGTCATGACTTCTTTGAGTGCAACCTGCACAGAGAGGACCATCCTAGGCTACTTTGCTCCTTTACGAGGAAAGGTCAAAGGAAAGGTACCTGGAAAATATAAAGGTAAAGGTAAAGGTACCCCTGCCCGTACGGGCCAGTCTTGACAGACTCTGGGGTTGTGTGCCCATCTCACTCAAGAGGCCGGGGGCCAGCACTGTCCGGAGACACTTCTGGGTCACGTGGCCAGCGTGACAAGCTGCATCTGGCGAGCCAGCGCAGCACACGGAAACGCCGTTTACCTTCCCGCTAGTAAGCGGTCCCTATTTATCTACTTGCACCCGGGGGTGCTTTCGAACTGCTAGGTTGGCAGGCGCTGGGACCAAGCAACGGGAGCGCACCCCGCCGCGGGGATTCGAACCGCCGACCTTTCGATCGGCAAGCCCTAGGCGCTGAGGCTTTTACCCACAGCGCCACCCGCGTCCCTCCTGGAAAATATATATAGATATAAATATTGACAAGCAAGTCAATAAGCGAGTTAGCAGCCAAGATCCTCTCCCGTGTTCAAAGACTTTGTAGCATCTGGATAGCTCAATTGGTTAGACCATGGTGCTGATAACGCCAAGGTGGCAGGTTCAATCCCTGTGTGGGGCACCTTCATATTCCTGCATTGCAGGGGGTTGGACTGGATGATCTTCAGGGTCCCTTCCAACTCTGCAATTCTATGATTCTAAGAGGATAATCCCAAATCCAAGTTGTATCTCACGCTTTCATCTATTGCACCATAAGCACGCCTGCGTTTCATCATGCTGTTATTTCTAACAAGCGCACTTTACGATCCTCAGCGTTCCTATTCCGTTTTCAACGGGTCTGCGACCGAATAACAATCAATCAGCTGCATCGGATTCCTGATTTTCAGATGCCAGAGGGGTAGGGCGGGGAGAGAAAACAAAAGCAGCTAAGAGCTGGAGCTATCCGTAGGGTTTGGAACTTAAAATATGTTGTTGGGAGCTGCTCCCAAGGCTCATCAGATTGGCTTTTTTATAGCAAGGGGTGAGGAGGAGGAGGAGAAGAGGAAGAAGAGGAAGAAGAGGAAGAAGAGGAAGAAGAGGAAGAGGAGGAGGAGGGGAAAGCACCCTTACTCACCACCTTCTCAATACGGCTAGGTAGGACTACGCTGGCCAGGGGGATACTAACGGGGAGTTTATTGGGGTGCACTGTGCTCAGGGGGATGCTGATGGGAAGGCTGGTGATGGTCTCCCCGTTACTCGCGGACGTCCTCTCTCGCAAAGCCTGCAGACACACAAAAAAGCAGAGAAGGCCAAAATAATGCAGCGCCCCCCCCCTTTCGCCTTCCGAGCCGAGAAGCTCTCAAAAGGACGCTTAGCGGAAGGAGAGCACTGGAGCGCTTGCAAGCAATTCCCCACCCCAACAAATATTCTTCAAAAGACACGGACAAGAGGTCAACTGCATCAGCCAGCCAACATATATACACACACACACACGCACAGTTTGCCGTTTTGGTCAGAGTACAAACAGGAGTCCGTTTAACCACGGTGGCCTTGGAGATGGGGAATATTACACCTGTGCCGGTTTTTGCTAAGATAAACAGACGGGCGCCAGCAATGTCGTTTTGGTTCCCCCATTCACAAATGTTTGAGGCCGGACTTTGGAAAGCAGGGCTGATTGCAGCTTGGCACTGCTGACACATTTAAAAAAGGGACAGTTCGGGGGGGGGGAGAGAAATGCATTCCACACCCCACTGAGACCAGACGACAGTACAGGCACGTACTTGGGACACTGCAAGAGAGAAAACCCTGCATCAAACAGACCCAGATCTAACCTCCAGAGTCATGTAAAATGTATTTTAACATGCAGCGCTCTCAATCTGGGCACTTTATTATGCGGTGTGGGTTTTTCGGGTCCTGAAGAATTCTCTTTGGCTTGGGACACAACCTGCATTTCCCCATCAGTATGCTCTGAGCATAACCGATAAATGTATCCCGTTGGCACAAAAATTTCCTCTTGTGCAATGGAACACACACACACCCCAATTCCACCCCGTGGAGTTACTTCAAATTTGCTCTAAAGGGTTGGGGGAAACCCCAGAACTGAATTAGAGGGCCCACAGGGGGTGGGGGAAGAGTCCCTTCGCACAAGCAGAAATCCCTGCACTGAAGGGAAATTTACTTGGCATTGGATACAGCCCACAACTTACTCGGCGTTGGATATGTGGGATAACCAGCCACAAGTAACCAACATGCTTAGGTCTAATGAATGCATGAAGGGGTTAATACTAAAAAGCAATCTATCCTGCCAGGCTTAGCTATGTCACTTCCCTTCCCTTGGGAGGAAACAGGTAATTCAAGCCTATTGTTTCTCCCAACTCCAGTCTACCTGAGAAGCTCAGTATGTGATGAAGCGGTTGCTCCAGCTCAGCCGCATGGCTCTCACCAGCCACTCTTGAGTTCCTATACCAATAATCTTGGAGCTTTTACTGCTTTATAACTAAGCTAAGTTTTACTACGCCTGTGCAATGTTTCCGACCAATGTATGGGAAAGCACATGAACCGGAGCTTTGAAGCATTTGTGAGTAAACCAATCTTTAACTTACCAAACCTGTGGCTTTTTCAATCTACGCTGGGGGAAGAGGGAAATTTTGGAAGGGCATATTTTAAAGATCTAACAGCTTATATTTGCACCCTTCACTCTTCTGCATATTCTGTGACTTTAAATCTCTACTGGGGTTCTTGCCCTGAGGCCTCCAGGTATAAGGCGGTATATAAATTCAATAAATAATCATAATAATCTCTCACCAAAGAGTACTTGCTCCAAATTTGCATCTTCACATTAGTAATGATATATATTGCACTGGAGACAACCCACAGTTCACTTAGCATTGACTAAGGTTCACTTAACATTTGGTACAGCTCAGTTCCCCCCCCAAAAAAACCAGACACCACACAGCTGAATACTCCCGGAAAGTCAACCTTATGGAAGCTGCGCCTGGAGACTCAGAGACAGCCCCCCTTGCGGCTTCCTTACCTTCTCATTGGCTACTGACAAGGCTGCTGGAGAAGGGGGCTGGGGTTCCTGAGGGCTCATCTTCAGGCCGTTCGGCATCGCAGGGCTTGAAAAGGTGAGGCCGTTCTCTTTCACGTGCTCAGTCCTGCCAAAAGGAAATAATAATAATAATAATTTATTATTTATACCCCACCCTTTTGGCTGGGTTTCCCCAGCCACTCTGGGCAGCCTCCAACAGAATATTAAAATACAATAATCTATTAAACATTAAAAGCTTCCCTAAACAGGGCTGCCTTCAGATGTCTTCTAAAAGTCTGGTAGTTGTTCTTCTCTTTGACATGTGGTGGGAGGGCGTTCCACAGGGCGGGTGCCACCACCGAGAAGGCCCTCTGCCTGGTTCCCTGTAACTTGGCTTCTTGCAGTGAGGGAACCACCAGAAGGCCCTCGGTGCTGGACCTCAGTGTCCAGGCAGAACGATGGGGGTGGAGATGCTCCTTCAGATACACTGGGCCTTTGAGGCCGTTTAGGGCTTTAAAGGTCAGCACCAACACTTTGAATTGCGCTCGGAAAATAAAATAAACAGGATGCAAGAGTTCTGAAGGTTTCCCCATTGCCAATGGAAAGCGTTCATCGTTTGTTAAGAGAGACCTCCTGCCTTTCAACACGATTTATCCCAAGCAGTGTTCAAAATTCAACAGGTGCCAGGCGCATTTTGCACCTAGCTATTGGTCACTCGTGGCCAAGTGGTGTTTCCTGCTTGGCAGGGGGTTGGACTCGATGGCCCTTGTGGTCTCTTCCAACTCTATGATTCTATGATTCTAAGTGCCTGGGTGCCAGGATGGCTCCTGATGTCTCCACCATCTGGGGATCCTTGGATCTGGACTGTTTTCACACACCAAGGTCCCATCCTGTAGAATTCCATCCGTTATATTTTATCTGCACAATCGGAATGAATTTCTGGAACCAAAATGCTTTTTCAATGCAGCCTGAGCAGGAGCAGGGAACAGCGTTATAGCGAATTGTTGTCGCTTGTCTTGGCTTCCCCCACTGCCCTGCTCAGAGTTGAGTAGGATATTCTTATGTTATGAACTGAGTCACCATTACGAAAAAGAGGTTGGAATAGGCCAGTAGATATGCAAACTATCCCTGGATCAAGGGACTTTTATTCTTCAAGTTCTCAAAGTTCTAAACCTGGCTCAAGGTTGTCCTCTGAACTAGCCAGATGTTTAACTGAGAATCCACCACAGTCAGTCCACCCTTTGAAAAATAAGCCTTTCGAGTCGTCTTGCCCCCAAATGGCAAATAGGCATTCTGTTTTGGTGATTACACCCTTGGTTTAAGTAGCCAGTTGGTGCCTGGCTTGTATATATTATGCTTTTATATAGGACCCCTCGCTTGCCCCAAGCCCCTCTGCTGCCGCCCCCTCTCTCACCTCTGGTGGTTCTCAGCGGGCGCTGCTTTCCCGCTGCCCACGTGGTCCTGGTTCAGATGCCTGCGGAGGGCGATCTTGGCCGGGGAGAAGCGGGTGTAGTCCGGCAAGGACAAGCTAGAGGCCTTGTCCGGCTTCTGCCTGCCGCTGTGGCTGGGCGTGCAGGGGACCATGTCTTGGTCCAGGTGGGAAGCCGGGTACTGGGGGGTGCCCTGCTTGGAGGAGGAGGATGAGGACGACGAGGAGGCCGGGCGGCCAAGAGCGGCGTGGATCTCGTAGGGCGTGGCGTGGCCGTTCATGGACAGCTCGGGGCTCATGCCGTTCAGGTGGGGGCCCGCGGGGAACTTGGAGCACTCCAGCTCGGGGTGGAAGGTGCTGTGATCGGGCTCCGCCTCACGGCTCGGGTGGCGCTTGTGGCGTGGGTGGGCGAGGGAGTCGTCAGGAGGCATGTAGGACTTCAGCTGCAGCAGCTCCTGCTGCCGCTGACTCTTCTCAAGCTCCACGATGCTGATCTTTAAAAGAAAAAGAAAAAATGAGGAGGGAAATCGGGAAGTTCATGTGCAATGCACAAATTCGTTAAGCCTGGGTTGTTAATAATAATAATAATAATTTTTTATTTATACCCCGCCCTCCCCAGCCAAGGCCAGGCTCAGGGCAGCTAGCAAGCAATAATAAAAACAAGTTGAATGAATACAACTTAAAAACAAGATTAAAATACTGAAACATTAAAGTACTGAAACATTAAAATATTAAAATGCAGCCTCATCACAGGAGGAGAAAGGAAAAAGAAAAAATAAAGAGGGGGAGGGAATCAAATTGGCTCCAAACCAAAGGCCAGGCAGAACAACTCTGTCTTACAGGCCCTACGGAAAGAAATCAGATCCCGCAGGGCCCTGGTCTCATGAGGTAGAGCATTCCACCAAGCCAGAGCCAGTGTTGAAAAGGCCCTGACTCTGGTTGAAGCTAATCTAACTTCCTCAGGGCCTGGGACCTCTAGGCTGTTGCTATTTATGGACCTTGAGGCTCTCCGTGGGGCATACCGGGAGAGGCGGTCCCGTAGGTACGAGGGTCCTAGGCCGTGAAGGGCTTTAAAGGTCAAAAGCAGCACCTTAAATCTGACCCTGTACTCCACCGGGAGCCAGTGCAGCTGGGTTGGGGCGTCTTCCAACACTCTGGTCTTATGATTCCACGAAACCCTACCTGCAGCTCCAAGCAATGCTTCTGTTTCTCGGAGATCTGGTTTTTCAGTGCTTGCTTTTCCTTGAGCAGATTCTCCAGCGACAGCGTCGACCAGTCCAGCTTCAGCTCTTCGCACCTGGCCTTCAGCTAGGATATGGGGGAGACAGACAAGGAGGGTGAGTTTGGACGTGAGCCACCCCAGCCCCCAGCCCCGAGACGCTGGGACTCCCGTTGGGGAGGACGCACCAGCTGCAAACTCTGGTTCCTGAGCTCGCCATTGTCTTTCTCCAGCTGCTTGGTCTGCTCCTTCAGCTGCTGGTTGTGAGCAGAGATCTCCTTCTGGGCCTGGATAAGGTCGTTGTACGTCAGTGCCTTAACACCCAGCTATGTTGGTGGGGGGACAGAACATGGTTAGACCCCCACCCAGTATCATCCCAGCAACATAAAACAGGGAGCATCAGTTTGGGAGTAGGGAGGAAGTTCAGGAAAACAAAAAACGAACGGCTTGTCTTCTCCTCGTACCCCTTTCCATGCCAACTCAGGAAGCCATGACCCTGTTGCTGCAGCTGCTACAGAGACCACCCAGCCCACTGTGTTACAGTCTCCCCTCTTCTGAGCTGATGGTCCTGAGCATACCCTTGGGGGGCTTGCCTGGAGGGACTCAGGATTACATCTTTATTGCTTCGTGGTGGTAACTGTCCCTTTGTTTGGTAACCGTATGCTTCGCTGTTGCAAGCCACCCTGGGACTGTACAGTGAAAGACGCTAAATCTGACCCAGACAGATTTACTGTATTTTTCGCTCCATAAGACACACTTTTTTCCTCCTAAAAAGTAAGGGGAAATGTGACTGCATCTTATGGAGCGAATGGCGCTGTGCAGAGAGAGAAGCGCCTCGCCTGTGAAGCGGGAGGAGGAACGGAGCCCATTCTGTTCCTCCTCCCGCTTCGCTGAAGAGGCGCTGCGCAGCTCTCCCTCTCTGTTCCTCCTATGTTCCTCCCTTCTGTTCCTCCTCCCGCTTCGCAGGAGAGGCGCTGCGCAGAGACAGTGGCCAGCACTGTGGCCACACAGTGGCCAGCTTGATGCCTGTGGGAAGCCCACAAGAAGTACACGAGCATCATAGCACCTCTAAAAACTAGGTGCGTCTTATGGTCAGGTGCATCTTATAGAGCAAAAAATACGGTGGTGTGTCTAATATTGTCCCGTCCCGATTGATATCAGGACCAATGCATGGGGCAGGGCGCTCTTCAGATCTGAACTTTTCGCACAGAGATAGGGAGGGGATAACGATCTGGGATGTGGGGGCCCCTGTACAGTTTGCACAAAGACCATTGCACTGTGACTCCAGGCTAGAAATGGGTTTGGTGTGTGCAATCTAGATGTGGCCTGAAGGGAAAGAGAAATAAAAAATACCAGCTGCAAGGAAGATCAGCTATGCTATAGACATGGGTAAGAGGGCAATTAACCCATTAAGCAGAGGACTTGGGAAAAGTGGGGAAAGTGGAGATGGAATGTAGAATGGTCCCGACCTGACTGCCAAAGGCCTTGGAAAGAGTGAGACAGAGGGTTTGACACATGTGATATGCCAGATTAATAAATAGTCAGGCGCAGAAAGCACATCCATGGTGACGAGAGATACATCAGTTAATGTCTGAATGTAAGACTATGAAGGATACTAATGAATGGACGCTCATGTGTAGTTACAATCGAGCTATAACATGGAAGTCCTCCTCCAAGGGCCTTCTGGCAGTTCCCTCACTGAGAGAAGTGAGGATACAGGGAACAAGGCAGAGGGCCTTCTCGGTGGTGGCCTGCGGAATGCCCTTCCCTTCAGATATCAAGGAAATAAACACCTACACAACTTTCTGGAGACATTTGAAGGCAGCTGTGTATAGGGAAGCTTTTTAATGTTTGATGTTTTGTTATCTTTTTATATAGGCTGGAAGCCGCCCAGAGTGGCTGAGGTATAAAAAATATTAATACAGTGGTACCTCGGGTTACAAACACTTCCGGTTACAGACTCCGCTAACCCGGAAGTAGTACCTTGGGTTAAGAACTTTACCTCAGGATGAGAACAGAAATCATGTGGAGGCCGCGGGAGGCCCCATTAGCTAAAGTGGTACCTCAGGTTAAGAACGGACCTCTGAAATGAATTAAGTTCGTAACCAGATGTACCACTGTAAATAACAACAACACATGCTCTGCAGAGGGCATTCTCTGTCTGTCTGTCTGTCTGTCCCCCCCCCCCCAGCCATGCCACTCCCCACTCCTACCTCATCCAGTTTCTGCTGGAACAACCGCTTGATTTCTTCCTTCTGAGCCTGGCAGTGAGTAAACAACTGTTGGGCCTTGCCCAGAAGCTGAGTGTTCTTCTCCTAGAACAGTAGCAGGAACAGGAGAGGGTGGGGACACAGCAAGGTTAACAGGCGCACACAGCACATTATCCAGTGTAAAGAAATGGTACAAAAAGGGATTTGTAAGTAGATAAAGCAATACTGCATGTGAAATGAACCTTTTTTACAAACATGAGTTGTAAGGCACTGTTGTATGACAATTACAGTTTCTCCAAAACATCTCAAATTACCGTATTTTTCGCTCTATAAGACGCACCAGACCACAAGTTTTTGGAGGAGGAAAACAAGAAAAAATAAATTCTGAATCTCAGAAGCCAGAACAGCAAGAGGGATCACTGCGCAGTGGAAGCAGCAATCCCTCTTGCTGTTCTGGCTTCTGGGATAGCTGCGCAGCCTGCATTCGCTCCATAAGACGCACACACATTTCCCCTTACTTTTTAGGAGGGGAAAAGTGAGTCTTATAGAGCAAAAAATACGGTATTTACGTTCCTTCTTTTGCATTCTGTTTCAAGCTTCAATGGTAAGAAAACTGAGAACTGCTGCAAGGCAGCAGCTGTAGATTCCATTACAGCCTCTCGCTTGACTTTTCAAAACTGTGATAATTATATCTTCCGCAAGAGCTAAAATCAACAGAGCTTTGTCGCTTCTCAGGGCCAAGGGTTGAGTTTCAAAATTCCAAAAGGGGCGATTGCATTTCTACTCAGAAAAACTCCCTGGTCAGGCTTAAAAGGAAGATCCTACACAGCTGCTGAAAGGAAGTTTGTCTCCTTACCTTTTCCTGTTCCAGTAGCTGCTGAAGGTTCGCTTTATACTGAGGAGTCTTCATGTACGTCATGAACTGCATGTACTGGATCTTGAACGAATCTGCATTAAGACCAGAGGAGATGGAGAACAGAAGGACATCGTCAACGACAGCCTTGCATTCAGGACCAGCCTCCCCCATCCCTGTCTCAGTAGAACAGCGGTCCAGACTCCTTTAAATGAGCTGGCGACTCAGAGACAGCTGCAGCTCCTATTTAAGGGCTCAGTCAGAGGACCTCTGGTGCTGAAACAATATCTGAGCTCCCTTTATATGGAATCTCTAGCCTGAGCCCTATATGAGCTGTCCATGGTGCTACTGAAGATAAGAGTCACAGGTCCTATTCGAGTCCCCCAAGGGCTGGTGCTGAAACAATATTTGAGCTCCGCTCATATGGAGCATCTAGCCTGAAGCCTCCATGGAGCTGTCCAGGGTGCTGATGAAGTCTCCCACTTCCCTATTTGCACAAACCTGAACACACCCACACCCTCCCACACCGACCATGTGGGCTGGCCTGCTCATCGAGGAGGGGGAAACCCTCTTACCTAGCAGCTTCTGGAGTGCAGGCGGGGTGGGGGTCACCAACAGCTGGTTTGACGAATGCCGCTGCACTTTAGGAGGTAGTTGGTAATACGGACTACGAGGTGACCTGTAAGCATCTGGAAGGGAGACGACGCAAAGCATTAAGTTTCTCACTTTGCTTTAGGAAGCCCCACCCAAGGAAAACAGGAGGTTGTGGATTTGTGGCAAGGAAACAGGCTGGGAGATGGCTTGAACCACAAGTGGAGGAAAGATGTGGTTGAATACAATCAAGCACTGGTGAGGGCTCATCACCAAGCCTACCTATGAAGCCGTAAATGGCTCAGGACTGCTAGCCACTCAGGGAACAAGACACACACACACACACACACACAATGTGGGGGGGAAACGTGAAGTAGCCAATGCTACTCTAGATTCCTGCAGCCCCGTTAACTCTGCCAGCTCAGCTGTCCCTTGACTCCTGCAGGGGGGCAGCGAATCACAAGATCAGGGTGTGGGGAATCCGTGAAACCAGCCAATGCCTCCACCCTTATTTCAGACACTGAGATGCATCAGTATATCACAGTGTTGAAAACCAGCTCCATCCTTATTCCAGACATCACAATGTATCGGAATATTGCTGGTGATATATCGCGATGCTGAAGGCCAGATACTGCCCAGCCCTAGTAGGAGCAAAATCCAAGTGCACATTTAAGGAAAGTAACACCTTTTAAATTACCGTATTTTTTGCTCTATAAGACGCACCCAAACGTAAGACACACCTAGTTTTTAGGGGAGGAAAACAAGAAATAAGAAAGCAACGCAAAGCCTCCTGAGCGAAGAGGGAGTGCTCCTCTCTCTTCGCTCAGGAGGCTTTCCGGGGCTATCCCTGAAGCCAGGAGAGCAAGTGGGATCGGTGCGCACCCATGCCTCTTGCCCTCCTGGCTTCAGCGAAAGCAAGCCTCCTGGCTCTCCCCCCACCTCCCGCAAAAGCCAGGGATAGGATAGCCATGCGAAGCCTCCGAAGGGCAGCGGGGTGAAGGCTCTCCCTGCCTGGAAGAGGCTAAGCCAGAAGCTAGAACAGCGAGAGGGAGCGCTGCGCAGCGCTCCCTCTCGCTGTTCTGGCTTCTGGGATAGCCGCACAGCCTACATTCGTTCCATAAGACACACACACGTTTCCCCTTACTTTTTAGGAGGGGGAAAGTGCGTCTTATAGAGCGAAAAATAAGGTAGCTTTATTCTGTAAACTGCCCTGAGACCTCCGGGTATAGGGCGGTATATAAATTCAATTAATTAATAATGGCCCACACCGCAACGTGAAGGGTGGCAGGTGGCCAGCTAACACCAAACAACTTGGCAGCTCACCCTGAGGAGAAGACGAGCAGGCCTGCGAAACGGTCTGCGCGTGGAGGAGCTCCAGGGCCGTCTGGTTCCTCTTGGGCTTCCGTTCTGAGCTCACGATGTTCATCTTCTTGGGGCGCCCGCGCTTCCTGCCGGCCATTTTCCTCCCCTTCTTGCTCAGCTTCTTCTTGCGGGCTTTGGACGGAGATGGCTTTTTGATGGCGTTGGCCCCGGGGGCGGCCTCTTCTTCAGCACCATAGTCCTTTGTGCAACAAAGAGATAAATAAGAAGACACGAAACCCAAGAAAAGCAGAAGCCCTTCCTTGAGAAGTTGCCCAAGGGCTCTCTGTTGCTCCCAGAGGCATGAGGACTAGTGTCTTGTGCTATACTTATAGGAAGGGCTAGTTACTGGGAGGAGGTGCTTGTTCGCCTGTACTTCCAATTTCAATTTTTTTAAAAAAACAGCTTGTTTGAAAAGACTATTTAAAGAAATATTACAGTATGATGAACTCACGGCTGCATTTGAGCTATGAGCAACAGAAGTAAATAGATGATAATATTGTGGTTGTGATTTGATAGATAGAAGGAGCAGTAGAAGGGGAGCAACAACAACATGGAAAACGGGGTGGGAACAAAAATAAGAGAAAAGCTTTGATTGTATATGTTAAGAATGTTGAAACTTAACAAAATATAATTGGGGGTGGGGGTGGGAAGCTCTGTTTAAAGAAATGTCGTGCTGTAGATGTTGGGACCCCCCCCAGCACCACCCAGAAACATGCTGCCCCTCTGATGTGTGCCTGGCTTTTAGGAAACTGCAACTGTCCACACACAGCGGATTATTCGTGGGTTCAGACCTTGGTCTCTTGGGCCTTCGTTGGCGTGGTGGTGTTGCTCTTGTTTTCTCGTTGCTGGCGACGTCTAGCTGCCTCTTGTTCCTCCTGCGGAGTGTAAACATTGAGAGCGTGGGCACGGAGAAGGCTGGGGGCGGGGGGGGGGGAGAGAAAAGACAGGAAAACGTCCCCCTCCTTCTAAACAATAAGAGGTGGAGGACACACAGGAAGAGCGTGTCATTTCTCCTCTTGAAAATGGGCAACTCCACCATGCGTGAAAATGTGAGCCTATCTCCCTGCAGCCTTTCCAACATAGGGCACTGGAGGATTTGAAACAGATGTTGGATAGTCAACCCATCAGGAATTATTTAACTGTGATTTCTGCATCGGAGGAGTTGGACTAGATCAGGGATTTCCACACTTTGTTCTCCAGCTGTTTTGGAACTACAATTCCCATCATCCCTGACCATTGGTCCTGCTGGCTAAGGATGGTGGGAGTCGTGGTCGATCAACAGCTGGAGACCCGAGTGTAGGAAACACTGGCCCAGATGATTCCTTAGGGTCTCCTCCAGCTCTGCAACTCCATGATTCCATGCATACCAGCCACAGGGGTGCTCAAAGAGTGCTTTTGCACCCGCGTTACGTGTCTTGGAGAGGCTGCGCTATTCTGAAGCTTCCACGACTGCAATTAGGCTTAAAAAGTAAAACGGCTATTGTTACGCCACTTACCCTGAGTTTTGGATTTTTGAGACTAGAGAAGTAGTTTTCAAGCTAAATAGCAACGACAAGAAAAATAGATCAGTATAATAAATAAATGAATAAACCACCTCAGATGTCCCAGGCGTTTCAAAGGAGCATTCAGGCATTGTCTCCCTAAAAACTGCACCAAGAACCTGCCCTTAAAATATAATCACACCAGCATTTAGTGATTTAGGACCAACAAAATGAGAAGTCTTATTTTTTCCTACGAAATTTATGTAGGACTTGATTGTAAAAAAGCAAAAAAAAAAAAAAAAAGCCCACCACTCTCAAAATAGTTTACAGAAAGCAGCGTCTAAGAAGTGGACAGAACTTCTGTTGATGGACCACAATCACAGTGCAATGACTGAACAACGGGAAACTGCAGGCGCTGTGTTCTTAGGAACCGCGAGAAGCGCCAACAGGGCGGCGGGGGGGACGGGGGACTTACCACCTAAAATCACAAAGATAAAAGGTTGCAATCCAACTAAATAAATGAATGCAAAAGAGAGCCGTCAGGGTCCTAAGGCAGAGCAGCCAGGAACTTTGGGGTCCCTTCCAGCTTGACAATTCCATAATTCTAATTCTCTGCAGAAGGTGGTTTGTGGATTTCACTTGCTGATGCCACGCCACCCCTTTTATTTTTGTTGTATATATTTATTAAATTTATATGCCGCCCTCCATCAAAGATCTCTGGGCGGTTCGCAGAATGAAATACAAAATAAAACACAAGTAAATAATTAAACCAAAACAACAAAATAGTAACACGCCCTTTCCTGATCCCACCATGAACACACATGCACAACGTTAAAACCGGTGTTGGGCTGGACGTTGATTCTTGGTATAACAGAGTAGGGTCAATAGCATTGGCTGAGAAACTAACATGCCAGATGAGAGGGGCAAAGGGCGAACACAATCCATATTCCTTTTATAATATATGGCAAAGGTTTACAGGATACATAAATTGTTCAGACTGTGGCAGGAATCCACCCAGCACTCATGGGAAAATGTGGTGTGATCTCTTAAAGATTAATCAAATGAAACTTTTAACACGTGGGCATGCTGAAAGTCTGCAATTTTATCAGGACGAGTTATTTGTTGTTAACTGTTGTAACAGCTACTTTCCAAAAAATTATCTTCTGTACTGTGAAAATAAATAAAACTTTTTTTTTTAATGCACAATAAAATTAGGCTGATGATGCTCACCACTGCCATTTGCAAATAAATTAATACACAAACTTATTCACACTTACACACACACCCGCTCACAGACAGCCCCCCACCCACCCACCCACTGCCCTGTGTGCAGCTACTCACTATGGTCCGATCGATAGTATGCAGGTAGTAAGAAACAGGTTTCCCAGTCCATGAGACAGACCCTTTGAGTGGTGACAGTTCTACGACTCTCATAATAGTGCCGATGTCTTTTGGAGGAGGAGAAAGATGGGAGAGGGTTAAAGAGGAAACAGGAGCGCCAGCCGCGGAGCACATTTCAGAGTCACACCCCACCCTTCGTGCTGTTCCACTAGGGAACTCATTCCCACAGGAGCCAGGGGTGGACAGCAACTTAGACAGCTTTCAAAGAGGAATGGGGGGGGGCAAACTGATGGGGGGGAGAGAAGGCTGCCAAGCCACAATGGCCGGAAGCAGTAAGTGCTTCTGAATACCAGCTGCCGGAGCCGCAGAAGGAGAGAGAGCTCTTGGGCTGGGGTCCTGCTTGCAGGATTCCCACAGGCGTCTCGCTGCAAGAACAGGATGCTGGACAAGAATTGGCCTGATCCCGCAAGCTCTTCTTATGTTCTTTTTTAAAAAAACAAAAGCCTGTTTCCGTACACCAAAGATCGGGCATCTCTAGGTGTGGCTGAGTAGGTCAACGGTCAGAGGTGCTGCGATTTGAGACTCTTAACATAGGGTTTCCCAAACGAGGGTCTCCAGTTGTTTTGGGACTACAATTCCCATCATCCCTGACCACTGGTCTTGCTAGCTAGGGATGATGGGAGTTGTAGTCCCAAAACAACTGGGGGCCCGAGTTTGGGAAACCCTGTGAATCTGACAACATCTGGCAGAGGGATCAGAGACACACAGAAATTTCCTGTCCTGACCTAAGAATTAGCATTCGTTGCGGTATCATTCCCTCTTGAGAACACAGAATGCCTTTTCTTAGAGCAGAGATGGGGAACCTGTATCCCTCCAAGTATTGTCACTCCGGGAATGCCTCTATTTAGAACAGGCATCCCTTCCTGGGAGTAGAGATGCCTCTTCTTAGATGACGGGAGTTCTGTTAGGATTTCACCCCTCCCTACGCTGCAGATATAGGATTGTTGGATCACGTGTCTGTGTGTAATGCATTTCAGCTGCTGATTGTTAGAGCTATATAAAAGGAAAGGGAGATACGCTGTTTGCTCCCTTCCTCCCACTGTTCTCTCACAGTGATGTTTCATTTCAGTGTTCTCTCTGAGGAAGAGAGAGGAAGAGGAGCCCTGTTTACTTTGTACTGTTGTGTTTGATTTCGTTGCAATAAATAAGGATTAGATGTTACACCCCAAAGCTAACGCTTCTATTTTGGACTCTGCTAGTCGTGTGCTCATGTCCCAGGAGGATATGGGTCGCATCAGTGTGATGGGAGACTGGAGTGATGAATCCCGGGCGACGCTGCATTGGGGGAAGGCCTCGGCGTTATCTCCCAACAAGTTCAAGCCCAGGGACATCTGAGGGAGCAGGCATAAAGGCTGCACACCTAGCTGCTCACGCTCAGTTCAAAACCTAACACACTTTTAAAATAGAGAGAGAGAGAGGTCTTACCACTCAAGTTTCGACTATTTATTCTAAAGTTCAATGGTGCAAAAGGTTTCGAGGATACAATCTGGCCACCTGTCAGGGGAAAAAGCAGGAACAGAGCCCCCCTGTTAGTTACCCTAAAGCAGTGGAAAGGGCACAGGTCAAATTTGTGCCTTCTTATGTCAAAAAGGCAAAGCTTTAGGAATCTCTCCTTTCCCCCAGTCATTGTTCCTTGCTAACGTAAAATCAAAAAGCAGAGGCAAACAAAAGGCAGGGAACATAAATCAAAAGTAAACAAACCACAGAGAGAATGCATTTGGCCAAGAAACTGAAGAGTTGGCCCTCTCTCGCTGCGGTGCAAGAATAGGTGGACACTGGCTACTGCAGAGGCAAGAACTTGCAATGACACATTTCCAGGACCTGAAACATTTCCCTGCCATCGGGTGGGATTCCACTCCTTACGGGTCAATTTCAGATATGTGCCACACTCTCTTCCCCCACTAAATTGCAAAGCAAAAAAGGCTTTTCGTGCTGCATTGATTTTTCTACATTATCTGCTCTCTGTTAATTTCGGAAACACAGTATTGCTACGGCGCTCTGCACCTCTAATCATGTTTTCCCTCTTTCTTTTCCGCCTGCACTTTTGATTTCGTGTTAATAACCATTTTGACAATCTTACCATCAGGGAGTTTCACGGGTGCTGCACGTAAACCGTCTTAGCTCCCCCCCCCCCGACTCACCAAGTTGAACAGATGGTTTTATATGAACTGTGGGCATTAGGAGTTCAGCCTTGAAATCTGAAGATAAGGGATCCCCTACCCACCCCAAATAACCTCTGAAGTGATTTACCCTAATGGCTGCATATTAATTGTTTCCTTTTAGGTCACAGGTTAATTGCTCTTTATACCGAGGGCAGAGAAGGGCGGGCAGAGCCCGGTGGCGTTCTGCAGCAGCGCCCCCTCAGCCTAGTGAACCATATTCACCAATTAAGTGTACTTGCAGTCTTTTTTAAAAACAACAACAGCACAGGTAAATACAGCAATACAGAGGACATGAACACTTGCCACATCTAAAGCTAGACCTTTTGTCTGAAGAGCTGAATGAGGGAGAGGAAGAGCAAAAAAGAGGAACAAAAAAACATGTGTGAAAGCGTTTAAGCAATAAATATTGGAGCAGCCGAACCACAGGCACACACAGGCACACACATGAACACTGAGATCAGCCCTAGTAAACTGGGCCCAGCCCTAGCTGCAGAGGCTTCTGGCAAAATCTCACTGACGTGAGAGCTGTCTTTGAAATTAGCCAGGCGCCAGGAGCATTTTGCTCCTGGCTTTCGACCACCTGCAACCAAGTGGACATGCCTGGGCGCCACAATGGTGCCTGGTATCTCCACCATCAGGAGGTGCATGCCTGGGGAATCACTGGAACAGGATTGTAATTCCCCATCCTGTAGAATTCCATTCTTAAGGAAATCAGTGCTCACTGGAAGGAGTACTCACTGGAAGGACAGATCCTGAAGCTGAGGCTCCAAGACTTTGGCCACCTCATGATAAGAGAAGACTCCCTGGAAAAGACCCTGATGTTGGGAAAGATGGAGGGCACAAGGAGAAGGGGACGACGGAGGACGAGATGGTGGGACAGTGTTCTAACTGCTGGAAGCAAACTGCTGGAAGTAAACAAGCAAATTGGTGTCCCCCCCCCCCGTATGTAGAGGGACGCGGGTGGCGCTGTGGGTAAAACCGCAGTGCCTAGGACTTGCCGATCGTATGGTCGGCGGTTCGAATCCCCGCGGTGGGGTGAGCTCCCGTCGTTCGGTCCCAGCGCCTGCCCACCTAGCAGTTCGAAAGCACCCTTAAGTGCAAGTAGATAAATAGGTACCGCTTTATAGCGGGAAGGTAAACGGCGTTTCCGTGTGCTGTGCTGGTGCAGGCTCGCCAGAGCAGCTTCGTCACGCTGGCCACGTGACCCGGAAGTGTCCTCAGACGGCGACGGCTCCCAGCCTCTAGAGTGAGATGAGCGCGCAGCCCTAGAGTCGGACACGACTGGCCTTCAGGCAGGGGTACCTTTACCTTTACCTTTACCCCATATGTAGGTGCTGGACTTGTAAGAAAGCCGAGGGTATTTTGGGATAGGATATATGATGAGATAAAAAAGATGAGACGAGATGGTTGGATAGTGTTCTCGAAGCTACCAGCATGAGTTTGACCAAACTGCGGGAGGCAGTGGAAGACAGAGGTGCTTGGCGTGCTCTGTCCATGGGGTCACGAAGAGTCGGACACGACTAAACGATTAAACAACAACAACAACATCCTGTAGAATTCTATCCGTTGTATTTCATCTGCGCAATCAGAAAGAATTTCTGGAACCAAAATGCTTTCTCTCTGCAGCCTGAGCTGGAGCAGCCACCACTAAGAGAAAGAGGATGGAACAGGCCACTAGAAATACGGACGGTCCCTGGATCGAGTGACTTTTCTTCTTTAAATTCTCAGAGCTCTTAACCTGGCTCAAGGTTGTCCTCTAAACTAGCCAGGTGCTTAACTGAGAATCAATCGCAGTCAGTCCTTCATTCGGAAAATAAGACTTTAGAGCAGTCTTGCCCCAAGAGGAATAACTAGGCATTGCATTTTGGCAACTGTAATCTTGGTTTCAGGAGCCATTTGGCACCTAGCTTTTCTTATCAGAGTTTTCAACACTGCGTCAGAGGGAGATTTATTCTGGATGCCTATTTGTATATATATATAAAAAATGCCAACCAAATGCAGCTTTCTGCTTTTTGTTACATCAATCTTCCTATATTATTCTGCCAGATGGGTTAATAGTCACCTTGGGTTTTTTAGTTGTATAGCTATGGCATTTTTCTATTACTTGGTCATATCACTAGAGAGAAAAACATTGTAATGAAATGTGTAATATTGTGATATACGTACTTAGAAATTGGCATTTTAGTTTTAATACAGGGTGAGTCTTTTAAAAGGGGCCCCGTGGAACATGCGAAATCAGTACCCATGGGGCGTCTTTTAAAGGACTCACCCTGTATAAAATTCAGTTAAAAATTGCACACGCACACACAAAGAATTGGGCCCAAATCACCCAACTGGGGTGGAAGGAAAACCCCAAGACAAAGGGTGAGAAGAGAACAAAGCTTTTGCCTGACACCCGTGGAAGAGAACTGCTCCCTGTGACTACACCCATGAGATCGAAGAAGCCTGGCAGGCTGAAACAAAAGCGCCTGGGAGGGAGTTTCACAGCCACAGGACTCATCAAGCCCACCAGATCGCATTTCAAGAGCAGGTGTCAAGTCCTCATTTGTGGGTTGTTATAATTTTTACAAGGTGAGATCAACCTGAGCCAGTTTTCTGCTGAAGGACGAAGACAAGGATTGATAGCGGCTGTTTTAAGAGAGGGTGAAGGGAAGTGGCTGGCCACTGTGGGAACAGGATGGGGGGTTGAGAAGGATGTGGACACGCTAGAAGGTGGGCAAAGGAGGAAGACCAAGATGATCAAGGGTCTGGAAACCGAGCCTTATGAAGAACAGTTGAAGGAGTTAGGTACATTTAGCCTGCAAAAAGAAGAGACTGAGAGGGGATAGGATGGTCACCTTCAAAGATCTGAAGGTGGAATAAGCTTGCTTTCTGCTGCCAAACCAACAGATTGCAAGAGACGAGATTCCAGCTAAACAACTTCCTGGTATTAACAACTGCTTGACCGTTCTACGGACTCCCTTGGAAAGTAGCAAACTCTCCTGCAATGGAGCATTTTAAACAGAGCTTGAGTGGGATTCTTTAGCTGTGATTCCCAGATTGCAAGGGTCCCCGTTCATATATCTATGAGCTACAGCTCCCTGAGCTTCGGCTGTGCTGGCTGAAGGGAGCCAGCGTTCAGGAACATCTAGAAACACGACATCAGTTGCCCCTGCCGATATCCATTCTAGGAAGCCCGTTTATTGAGGGCAGAACAGCCACTCCAACATACAAAGAACATACTCGTTGCTGCCACCACACAACTGAAAAAGCACAATTGTCATCCCAACAGTGGAGAGGCCAGTGGAGAGGACGCAACTCATTACCTTCCTTCATGTTTGCGAATCGCTCCTTCAGCTGATGATCCACCTCAGGTCCAAAGGCAAAGTTATTCACAAAAATAACACTGGAAGGTAAGAGGAGTTTTAGTAAAACATGGACACACACTGTCTTGCTTTTGCTGCAAGGGGTGGGGGGAAGGGTGCACATCTGCGTGCATACACACACATGCGCGTGCACACGCACACGTGTGCGCACACAAACATATGTACTTTGCTGGCAAGGCAAGGCATAACATAGCTTTCAACTCTCACATGTGTTTCACTAAAGCCACCCCAGAAAATACAAGGGAATGTGTTCCGCATTTGTAAAATACCTTAGAAGAAAAGACCAACCACATGGAAATGCTGCTGCAATTCAGCGGTGCGCCAAGCAATATGGTCCGGGTTTTTTAAAAGCATTAAATACATCCCGGTCACACAAATCCACGCCTAACACTTCCCATCCCCCCGGTTTTAGTACCTGAAAGCCCACTTCCTTCTCTACAGACCCTCTCAGGTGCAGAGATCAGCAGAAAAGGCCCTCTTGGCAGTTCCACCTTCCTCAGAAGTTCAGGGGTGGTGGCTGCCCCGGCGGAGAGGGCCTTCTCAGCGGTGGCCCCAAAGCTGTGGAACTCCTTCCCCACAGAGGTGCATGAGACTGGACACTGAGGTCCAGCTCCAAGGGCCTTCTGGCAGTTCCCTAACCCTAGGCGAGAAGTGAAGCTCCAAGCAACCAGGCAGAGGGCCTTCCCGGTGGTGGCACCCACTCTGTGGAATGCGCTCCCATCAGATGTCAATGAGACAAATGACTACACAACTTTTGAAAGACACCTGAAGGCAGCCCTGTATTGGGAAATGTTTAATGTTCAATGTTTTATTATGTTTTCATATGTGCTGGAAGCCACTCAGAGCACCTGGAGAAACCCAGCCAGGTGCACAAGGTATAAAAATAATAATAATAATAATAATAATAATAATAATAATAATAATAATAATTATTATTATTATTATTATTATTGGAACCTTCAGCACACAGCTTCTGGAGGAATCACAGGTTTTTGCCCCAGACCTTTGACACCTAAAGTCCATATTTTTAGGACCTACATCTCTTTGTGGCCATGAGTTGTTCCAAACCGTTTTAACTGCTTTAACCTGCCCTGGGATCTTAGAGTGAAGGACAGTTAAATAACAACCACCACGGCCACCACTAGCCAGGTGAGCCCCTGAGCAGGATGCCCTAAGCAACCCAGCGCTCTCTCCTCGCAAAGAAATGAGACGGGGGCAATATCTAGCATCCAATGTATAAGAAGTGGGGGCAGGACAAGCTGGTGAACCCCGTTCTGCGCCGGGGGGGGGGGTGTCCGTGTTAAAAGACAGAGCGCCGTACCTTGTGTTTGCGATCCTCTCCCGCCATTCTTCCGAGAGGAAGTCGCCTCTTTCCAGCTAAGAGGAGGAGAGAGAGAGAGAGAAAATGGAGTTTGACTTTCTTGTTTTAACTCAGCCAGCTTTTACATCCCTGGCAAAATGCAGCCGTGCTTGCTACCGTGCCCGAAGAGGGAGGGAGAGGGAACATCTTCCTAAGACCAGCCCGCAATACAGATTTCTGAATATATTTGGGCCACTGACAAGGCACTGAAATAAGGAGACCGAAAGGAAAAGTCACACCCCTCTTATCTTCAACCAGACTCTTCCTACTTTTTGGTGTGGGGGGAATAGAGAGATCGGAACAGAAGCCATCACCTACACAGGCTCCTATTAAACTGCTGTGTGTCTCCTCCCCTCCACCCAGCCTTCCCCGTCTTGTTTCTCTGGTCGCAATGGTGGAAACATAATCTGCTTAGCAAGCAGCAAAGGGGAGGCACCATCTGCACCAGATATTTCCATCTTCCCAAGGCAAGGAGGGAGCCAAAAGACAGCAACTGGCTTGGAGGATATCCACCTCAAAGCTCTCTGTTTATGCAAATCCGTGAGAATAAATCTGTGCCTCCGCAGAGGAATGTTGAAGGCGGCTGACTCTTCCGTGCAAAAAAACCCACAAATCCATGTGCAATAATCAAAGAAAATGTTCTTTCCTGTATCGGCTAATTGTTGGAGGGGTCACGATAAACTTGGCGCATGTTATCATTCAATGTGGGAATATATGTTAGTGTAAGATTGCTGGAACTTAATTTTGGAAGGAATAGTATTACTAAAGAAACTGCAACTTGCTGTCCAAAATTATAGTTACTGATTATTTTTGGTGATACAAATTGTAGATATATTGTCAAAAGAATTGGTATTAAACGGCTCAGGACCACAGGGACTGCCTCTTTCCATATGAATCTGCCTGGACCCTGAGATCATCTTCTGAGGCCCTTTTTTGTGTGCCTGCTCCATGAGAGATCCAGAGGGTGGCAACGTGAGAACAGGGCCTTTTCTGTGGTGGCTCCCCTTCTGTGGAATGCTCTCCCCAGGGAGGCTCACCTGGCGCCTTCATTTTACAACTTTAGATGCCAGGCAAAAATGTTCCTCTTTAATGAGGCCTTTGGCTGATTGACATCCAATGCCCTTTTAAAATGTGTGTGTGGGGGGGTGTTATTAGGTTGTTCTTGTTCTGTTTTTTATATATATATTGTGATTTTATCTTGTGAACCGCACTGAGACCTGCAGGCATATAGGGTGGTATACAAATTTAATAAATAAAAAAAATACAATTTATTAATAAACATGGTATTGGCAGCATGAATAGTAATTTCAACTCAAGTCTGAAACTGACTGTAAACCTCACATTGGGCGCTTGGGTGCCGTTCGCTCTGGAGCAGAGCTATAAGGGGAGAAAATTGCACATAATTTGAAAATCAGACTTTCCAGACGCTTTACGTATGAACTCCTAAGCCCTTGTCCCTGACCACCAGCCATGCTGGCTGAAGTCTAGCAGCCCCTGCAGGGCAGTTGCCCATCCCTGGGGTCTAGGGGGAAAAAATCATAGAATTGTAAAGTTGGAAGGGACCCAAGGGTCATCTAGTCTGACCCCCTGCAATGCAGGAATCTCAGCTACATATGCAGCATCCCTTGCTCTCAGGAGAGAATGCCTCTTCTAGACAGAGGGATCCCTCCATCTTTCGCAAGCGGGAGAAAAAGAATTAAGAAGCAACGCTTTGAACTGGGGCTTGGAATCAAACCAGAATCATGCACAAGCCAATGAACCATTCCAGGTGACACCATTCTCCCCAAACTCCTGTTTCAGTGGAGATTTTCAATTCAGCTGGAATTTTCCAAACTTAGCCAGGAAGCAAGTTCCTTTGCACACACCCTACCTCCCACAACACAGGGTCTACCCAGCAGAGACCGCAGAAGGAAATCACGTTTCATAGCAGGCAGGGTGTGTGATTCTGCCAAGAGAAAGTGGGGTCTGTGCAAAAGACATTAAGAAGGAGCAAGGGCAGATTTCCAGCAGTCTATGGAGGTCCTATGGAGGTGGGGGTTGCAGGGGAGGGAGTTTTGGACTCCAAAATTAATCTGGGCTCCAAAATAAATCTGAAAAGAAAACCCTCCGTTTGCAGCAGGGGGAAAGTGTGGCCAGGCTAGCTGGCTGTAACATAACGCAGACATGGAAGGGAGAAAAATTCTGCATTCTGAGAGTCCTCTCTGGTGCACGACACTTGGCTCACAAAGACCTGTTTGTTCTGCCTGGAAAAGCACACACAGCTATTTTTGAAATAATAATAATATTTCTTAGACACACACTCAAGAGCGGCAGGAACCCAAAGCTACGGAACGTGGCTCGGTTTCAAAGCTATGGGAGCCGTTGGAGGAGGGCTTGGGTATTTTGTTCCTCCTCTCTTTTTTTTTTTCAAATATCTGAGCGGTAAAAAGTTCCCGCTCAGGAGGAAAAAAGAAGCGTTAAATCCGGAATGGCTTAATACCCTGCAGACCTTTTCTTTTTTTCCTTTTGCTGCAAAAGTAGCAGACTATTAAAATTACCTCTCTTTTTTGCAGGGAGGGGAGAGAGAAATGGCACTGTGTACCCTTGAGTGCTTCCAGGAAAAAAGCACTGGACTCACACCCCAAAACCCACCAAGTTTTTTTTTGGGGGGGGGTTGTGAAGTGACTCCCAATTCCCGTGCGGAAACTAACAACAAATTATCTGCACACTCCGCAAAAGAATGCCAGCTTCAACTTGGGTTCCCCCCTCCAAGAAAAAGCTGTACCAATTTGGGAGGTTTGAAGGCCCTAAGTCAGGGGTCAGCAACCTAAGGCCCATGGGCCGGAAGCAGCATGCGGAGGTCGTTTGACCGGCCCATGAGCTGCCCCAGAACCAAGGTTCCTGCTTGCGTGCTGCGCTAAACCGGTGCAGCGCAGTGCGGGAACTTGCTTCTGCGGCGCCTGAAAATCGCGTCTGCACACGTGCTGAGAATCACGGGTGAACGCGTGATCCGGCCCAGGCAAGATAAACCTTGCTGACCCCTGCCCTAAGTGGTGGTGAGCGACCTGCCCCAGCCTAATGTGTCAAAGGCAGGAAGAGAAACTGGGGAGAAGTACACAACCACCTTGAGCAATTGGGAGGATAGGTAAAGGGACCCCTGGCCATTAGGAGCCGGCGTACAGCTTCCGGGTCATGTGGCCAGCATGACTAAGCTGCTTCTGGTGAACCAGAGCAGTGCATGGAAACACTGTTTACCTTCCCGCCGGAGTGGTACCTATTTATCTACTAGGTAGATAACTGCTAGGTTGGCAGGAGCAGGGACAGAGCAACGGGAGCTCACCCCGTCGCGGGGATTCGAACCGCCGACCTTCTGATTGGCAAGTCCTAGGCTCTGTGGTTTAACCCACAGCGCCACCCGCGTCCCGGGGAATTGGGAGGATAGACAGCTGTTGTTGCTACTGCTGCTGATAGGCTGACACAATGTCCCTCTCCTCCTCCTGAATTAACCTGCAAGTTCTCCCTCCCACACCCTCAAAGTCATTAAGCTAAGCAGCCAATTTTAATTTCCTCTTGCAAGATATCTAATGCATATAAACACACACACACAAACTTATTTGGTCATTAGAGAAACCGGGGGGGGGGAGTGAAAGGTGGGGAGCATTTCAGAGGAGAAAGGGCAGGGGAGGGAAGGAGAGGCAGAACGACCTCATTGCAGGAGGAATCCAGGAAACAACCACTCAAGCGCTCCAACATCCCACAGGCTCCGCGTCATTAAGCTCCCCCCAGATACCTGGACAGCATTCAGGAGGGGATACTTCTGAGTAGGAACCGCCAAGAAGGGGGGGGGGGGAGCACCATCTGTCAGCATTAATTGCCAACGAGAAGCTTTCAAGCCTTAACTCAATAATGGAAATGGGAGCAGAAATTCCCTAGGAATTTCTAGGGAGGAGTTGTTCAGGGGCTAGGCAGAGGCTGCTTGCTTTTAAGAAAAGAGCTCCTGAAGCTCTGAATTAGGGAAGCCCTGTTTAAGGAACTTTATAATGTTTGATGTTTTATTGTGCTTTTAATACTCTCTTGGGAGCCGCCCAGAGTGGCTGGGAGCAACCTAGTCAGATGGGCAGCATACAGTATAATAATAATAATTATAATAACAGAAATAATCTGAGGATCCGGAACTTAAAGGAAAAGCCTCTTTTGGAGAAGCAGGAATCCAGAGGCTGAGCCAATCTTGCAGGGAGGGCTTCCTTCCCCAGCACGAGAATCAGGAACCCCATTTCTTTTCATTTTCTAAATGGATTTTATTGCTGCCATCACCTGCTATAGATTTTGTCTTTTGTCTTCCCTCTGCACGTGGAGAGCTCTTAAGGAATCGCAGCCAGACTGGCAGGGTATAAATAATAACATTACTACTGCTAGTACTGCTACAACCAAATTTTGCATGGTGGCTCCTGAGATGGTGGTGGTAGAGTTTCCACCTTTGCTAGGATATGACTGGACGCCACTTTGAATCACAACGGCCAGCTGGACCTTGAATAACTGCACTGGTTTGTTTCTTAGAATTCCCCCACTGACGATGGGTGCAAGGGTTCTAGTGACCTAGGGTGTGTGTGTGAGAGGTGGGAAACCTTGAGTCTGTGGGCTGAATGGGGCTCTCCAAGCCCTCTCTACCTGGCCCTCAGGACTCATGTCCTCTCTCTGACCCTCTGCCAGGGGAAGTGTGAGGATAGATGTGATATATTTGCTGCTGTTGTTGCTTTTGCCTTCCTCTTGCTTGCCTGCAGAGAGATGCATGTGTAGCTGCATGGACTAGGGCTCCGTCCACACGGTACATTTTTCAAGCACTGTAATACCACTTTAAACAGTCATTGCATTCCCCACCCCCCAAGAACCAAACCCTCCAACATTTCTCTGATGAAAATAGGAAAGTCCCATTCATCATCATCATCATCATTTTACTATTTATAACCTCTCCCATCTGACCTGGTTGCCCCAGACACTCTGGGCAGCTTCCAACATATATAAATAAAACAAAAACATATTAAAACATCAAACTTAAAAAAAAAAAACTTCCCTATGCAGGGCTGCCTTCAGATAGCTCAGGGGTCACATTAACGCCATACCCTCCAACTTTCCTCTGATGAAAATAGGGGCATCCAAAGAGATAGTGAGACATTCCGGGATCAAATCAGAAACCGGGGCGGCTTCTGTAAATCCAGGACTGTCCCTGGAAAATAGGGACACTTGGAGGGTCTGCCAAAGCGCTTTAGCAATCAGTGCTTCTTCCCATGAAAGTCTGGGGGTGGGGAAAGGGATCTCCAAGCCGCTCCAAGCCCCCTTAGCAAACCATGACTGTTTACAGAGATATCATAGCGCTTTAATTTATTGTGGGCATGTGGCCTAGGTGTAACCTTCCACAGAAAAAGTCTCATAGGTGTCACATCGTGGTTGTCCGCCCGTTCTGGCTCACGCACAATTGGCATGTGCCCTCCTCCCCCCCCCCAGACCAGAAAAGGTTCTCTGCCCCTACACAAAGGTGTAGCCTCTGAAAACCCCACACCAAAACAGAGGGGGAAGGAGGGTGATTTGCAACGGGGGTTTGGTGGGAGGTAATGTTTGCAGTTCCGTTTCAACTCACTGTGTAATCTGCATGTTTTTTCCCATACCATTTCATCCACTTTCTGAATTCTTTGTCCATCGTCTGGAAAGGCAGACAGCCGGGAGGAGAGAAGAGGGGAGGAGAAAGCAGGTGTGCTGTTAGTAGTAAATTGGATAGTGACCCGTTTCCAGCAACCTGGGGGAACACAGCAACTGCGGCAGAGATCATTAACCACCAAGGACTTGCACCAGCAGAGAACATTTTTTTTTATAATTATCCTGTGTTGTATTGACTGCATTTAGTGCTCTCTTTTCACCTGTACTGCTTGTGGCACACGGCCCAGATATGGAAAGAAATCTGAATATATATTTTTATCAATTCAAAGAAGCTGCTGCTTGACGCCCTATTGTATCAAGGCAGAATTTAAAGCACAAGATTGCAGGCTTGGGGTATCTACATGTGCACCCAATGGCTGAAGTAGCACCATTTCTACAGGCTGTAAAAGGAAAGAAGTCAGGTTCTCTCAGTGCAGATTTCTTTCAGATTCTTTAAAACGAGCCTGCACACCCCTCAAGTCTAGATTTCTCTACATTGCACTTGGCTTCTAATCATAGCTGTAAACTTTTCCCTTTTCTTGTGAGGGATCCTATTCCGAATAAGGGAATCTCCCTTAAAAAAGCGAAACGTTGACAGCTATGCTTCTAATGTAGGTCACAGGATGCTCCCCTTTTCTAACCACACAAACACACACGAACTACATACCTCTGCATATTTGGCCGGAATATCTGCTTTCTCCACGCCATAGTGATGCTTGCAGTTTGTGGCTGCTGCTACCTGAAGAACGACTTGGCCCACACCTGAGACAAGAAGAGGAGGGGAGACAGGTAGAAACAGAGCAGAATCGACTATACCCTTCCAGTAAAGGTAAAGGGACCCCTCTGGGCAGCTTCCAGCACATATAAAAACATAATAAAACATCAAGGTAAAGGTAAAGGGACCCCTGACTCTGTGACCGACTCTGGGGTTGCGGCGCCCATCTCGCTTTATTGGCTGAGGGAGCCGGCGTACAGCTTCTGGGTCATGTGGCCAGCATGACTAAGCCACTTCTGGCGAACCAGCAGCGCACGGAAACGCCGTTTATCTTCCCGACAGAGTGGTACCCATTTATCTACTTGCACTTTAAAGTGCTTTCGAACTGCTAGGTTGGCAGGAGCAGGAACTGAGTAATAGGAGCTCACCCCGTCGCGGGGATTCGAACCGCCAACCTTCTGATCGGCAAGTCCTAGGCTCTGTGGTTTAACCCACAGCGCCACAGACAGAGTGAATGCTAAATACGCCCACCTCTCCCTCCCAATTCTGCTGGTCATTAGTGGAAAACGACAAGCTCGGTTCGGGGGTGGCTTGGGGGCCTTTTAAATGACCCCCGTGGGCTGCAGGTAGCCGACCCCTGCTCCAGGACAAGAGGAAAGCAAAAGGGGACCAAAAGCACAGCCCTGCTCAAGAAACCGTGGTTTGGCCATCACATCCAAAGTGGGCCATTATTTACACAGCTCAGCTGCTTCCTAAGCAAACTGGTAGACGCTGCTGAATGTTCTACAGAAGAAATGAAACCGTTTCGCGTAAAGATAGGTTTCAGGGCAGAGACAGGAGAGGGATGTGTACGGCAACCACTCACCGCTGCCCAAGTCCACAAACAGGTCATCCTCGGTCATTTTTATCTCATCGATCATCTGAGCAACCAGGTCAAAGGAAGTTTCGCCATACACCTCCGGGGAAAAGGGTTCATAGTTGTTGAGTTTTTCGGGGTCGGTCACCGAGTGGTTATAGACTTGCTGCAGGATGTGGCGCAGGAGCCCATTGGTGGGGCGGGTGTTCAGTTTCATGGGCTGCGTGGTTCCTTTCCACTGGAGAACAAAATGGGAGAGGCGGGGGGGTGAGGGGAGAGAGACACACATACACACACTTTGCCACGTGCGACAGGCCAACAAAGGCGCTTAATAATAAAAAATTAATAAAAATTATATATAACAAAAATCAGGCTACCCGCCCCCATCAAAACAACAACAACCTAGAAGCCACGCAGTGCGGATGGGTGAGTCACATACATACCAGCTGGTGAATGCTATCGATGGCGCGGTTGTATTTGTCACAAAGCCTCTGCATGCTTTCAAAGCTGAAAATCAGAAGAAGAGAGGAGGGCGGAAGGAGAAAAGAAAAAAAGTTATAGCAGTCAGGCAAATTAAGATGGGCCTAAGCTTTCTAGGCATGTCTCCCCAAAACATAATACATGCTACACAGATGGCTACATCTTCCTTGTAGTTGTAATCCTGTGCCACTCCCAAAAGGAATGTTTTGTCTGCAAAGTCTTCTTCAAAAAAACCCCAGCACCTTCTGTAGCCTGGGGCCATCCAGATGTTGCAAGACATAAATCCCATCACCATTACCCCTGACCACTGCCTGTACTAGCCGCTGGGAGACCAACGATGTCTAGAAGGAACCAGGCTTAGGCTGGCTGCTCAAAATCAACAAGGATTCTGGGACGAGCGTGTTGGGTTTGCATTTGGTTTTCCAGAGTCTTCCTTCCCAGCGAAGGCTCTGCGCTTCAATCTCTGGCGACAGGTGGCCAACTCCACCCTGCCCATCAAAATGGCCCTTGGAAGGCTAGCATCTTTGGGATGTGGCCCACCAGCCGGATCCAGCTCTCCACCCCACCCTCCCCATTGCATTCATCCACTCAGGTTATCGTATTTTTCGCTCCATAAGACACATTTTTTCCCTCTTAGAAACTAAGGGGAAATGTCTGTGCGTCTTATGGAGCGAATGTGTGGTCCCTGGAGCTAAATTGCCGGAGTGCGGCACGCTCCTGAGCTGCTCTTTGGGGCTGGCGGGGGGAACCCGGGCTTCCCCCGCCAGCCCTGGGAGCAGCGGGACGGCTGCACGCAGATGCCCCGCGCTCCTGAGCAGCTCTGGCGTAGCCCGCGAAGCCTCCGCAGGGCAGCAGGATGAAGGCTCCCCGCTGCCCTGCGGAGGCTTTGCGGGCTACCCCAGAAGCCAGAACAGCTAGAGGGAGCGCTGCGCAGAACAGCTAGAGGGAGTGCTGCCTTCACCCCGCTGCCCTGTGGAGGCTTCGCGTGGCTATCCCTGGCTTTTGCGGGAGGTGGGGGAAGGGGCAGAGCGTGCGGCTCCATCCCTTCCCCCACCTCCCAGAAAGCCCCCAAGAGCCGTGTTCCCTTTAAAGAGTGTGCGGCTCCTGCGGGAGGTGGGGGAAAAGCCAGGAGGTTTGCTTTCGCTGAAGCCAGGAGGTGCACACCGATCCCGCTTGCTCTCCTGGCTTCAGGGATAGCCCCACAAAGCCTCCTGAGCGAAGAGAGAGGAGCGCTCCCTCTTCGCTCAGGAGGCTTTGTGTTGCTTTCTTATTCCTTGCTTTCCTCCCCTAAAAACTAGGTGCGTCTTATGGTCCGGTGTGTCGAATAGAGCAAAAAATACGGTATGTCCACTGTATATGGAACAGGACTGTAGCCTCCCAGCCGCTTTAAGAGTTCCAGCCAGACAAGTCTGCAAGCCTAGTTTAGAAATATTCTTTACTGAAATGCTTTGCGCTATACAGTTCCAGTTCCCCATCATTTCTAGGGTTGGGGTGGGGGTTTGGAGGGCTAGGAAAGACCCTCCCCCCCCAAAAAAAAACACCTGGAGAGCCTATGTCAGTCTCTGCAGAGAACACACATGGCCTGGCTTGGTGCAAGAGAGCTTATTATTTTTATTGCTTGTTTGTTTTCTTTATTGAATTAGTATACCACCCTATAGCCTCAGGTCTCAGGGGCGCCTCACAGGATGAAATCGCAATATAAAAACACAAAAGTACGTAATAAAAATAAAAACAAGAACAACTCAATAATCCTCCCCGTTCCCCAACACATTTTAAAAGGACACTGGATGTCAACCAGCCAAAGGCCTGGTTAAAAAGGAATATTTTTGCCTGGTGCCTAAAATTGTATAATGAAGGTGCCAGGCGGCCCCCCCGGGGGAGAGTGTTCCATAAACGGAGAGCCACTGCAGAGAAGGCCCTATTCTCGTGTTGCCACCCTCCAGACCTTTCGTGGTACAGACACAAAGAAGGGTCTTCGAGGGTGATCTCAGGGTCCAGGTAAGTTCACAGAGAGAGAGGCGATCCTTGGGGCATTGCGGTCCTGAGCCGCTCAAGGTTTTATAGGTCAAAACCAGCACTTTGAATTATTATGCCCCCTTTTAAAATCAGCCTTTCCTTCTGAACGTTGAGGACTGGAATCTTGCTTCCTGTTTAACGAGGGTGGGGGAGCTATAACTCAATGGGAGACCACCTGCTCTGCTCTCCTAGGCTCAATCCCAAGCGGCATCTTACATACTTTAACCCCTGTCCGCAACCCTAGAGAGCCGCTGCCAGTCAGTGTGGACAATACTGGGCTAAATGGAGTGAGGCTGTGAGGCTATTTGGAGTCCAGAGGATGGGAAATTTAAGGGGAAGGTCTGCAGCTGAGCAACAGAGCATTTCCTTTTGCACACAGAAGGTCTCAGGTTCAGCCCCCCCCCCTTCACATAGGGACGGGAATGTTCCTGTCCCCGAAACCCTGGAGAACTGTTGCCAGCCAGTGCAAGCAGTACTGACCCTTGCTGCAAGCCTTGGGCTCTAAAGAGACTTGCTGAACAGGGCTGCCTGGCTGCTCTGAAAATCCCTTCTTTTTCTTTTTTTTAAAACCAGGATTAAAGAATCAACTCAGGACAGGAGATAGGGAAAGGAGTGGCAGCACGGGGAAGTCACGTGCCCCATTGCATAATCAGATTTCAAATATCTAGGGAGGGAGGGGGAGAGAGAGGAGAGCGAAAATCAGGGCTGCTCAGCCATTTCAGCCTCTTCATCAACTCCTGCAGTCAACAACCCAAGAGGGTTTTTCCCCTCCACCCCAGGTGGGTTCCTCTGCCCAAGGCAGTTTTTCATCTCTATTTTCACATGCACTTTGTGGGGTAGGGGGGAATAACCCAGGACACTCCCTGGCCTGTTTGGAAAGACCCCAGGGGGTGGGGCGGACCCCTCCCTTCGCATCCCTGCAAGGAGGACATGGAAGCAGCAGGAAAATCTCCTCCTTGTTTACATTTGTGAACAGGACAAATTAACCGTTCAAAGGAGTAAAGGGCAGGGGAGAGGCAAGGGAAGGGGGGTGAAGGGCAGGGCAGGGCAGGAGCCCTTATCAGAAAGGCTGTCTTTATCAAGCTCTCTCAAACATGGAACAGCTGAAGAATCCCCTTGCCAAAAGCTTCCAACTTCCAGAGTGAATCTACAACAAAAGGGACACGACAGCAGCTCCCCCCCCCCACTGCCCCCCATACTGAGAATTTGGAGCTGGTTTAAAATAGAAGAGAGAGCCACTGAATCAAAGAATTGTTCCAACGACTTGGATGATGGACTCAAGGGCATCCTGATCAAATTTGCAGATGACACCAAACTGGGAGGGGTGGCTAACACCCCGGAGGACAGGATCACACTTCAAAACGACCTTGACAGATTAGAGAACTGGGCCAAAACAAACAAGATGAACTTTAACAGGGAGAAATGTAAAGTATTGCACTTGGGCAAAAAAAATGAGAGGCACAAATACAAGATGGGGGACACCTGGCTTGAGAGCAGTACATGTGAAAAGGATCTAGGAGTCTTGGTTGACCACAAACTTGACAGGAGCCAACAGTGTGACGCGGCAGCTAAAAAAGCCAATGCGATCCTGGGCCTCATCAATAGGAGTATAGCATCTAGATCAAGGGAAGTAATAGTGCCACTGTATTCTGCTCTGGTCAGACCTCACCTGGAGTACTGTGTCCAGTTCTGGGCACCACAGTTCAAGAAGGACACTGACAAACTGGAACGTGTCCAGAGGAGGGCAACCAAAATGGTCAAAGGCCTGGAAACGATGCCTTATGAGGAACGGCTAAGGGAGCTGGGCATGTTTAGCCTGGAGAAGAGGAGGTTAAGGGGTGATATGATAGCCATGTTCAAATATATAAAAGGATGTCATATAGAGGAGGGAGAAAGGTTGTTTTCTGCTGCTCCAGAGAAGCGGACACGGAGCAATGGATCCAAACTACAAGAAAGAAGATTCCACCTAAACATTAGGAAGAACTTCCTGACAGTAAGAGCTGTTTGACAGTGGAATTGGCTGCCAAGGAGTGTGGTGGAGTCTCCTTCTTTGGAGGTCTTTAAGCAGAGGCTTGACAACCATATGTCAGGAGTGCTCTGATGGTGTTTCCTGCTTGGTAGGGGGTTGGACTCGATGGCCCTTGTGGTCTCTTCCAGCTCTATGATTCTATGAGTTGGAAGGGACCCCCAGAGGTCATTTAGCCCAGCCCCACACTGTGCCAGACGACAGTTCCCATCACCCCTAACTATCGGCCGTGCTGGTTGGGGCTGACTGGCACTGTGAGTCCAGCGATGACATCTAGGGGGAGCCATGGGGGAGGAAAGTAGTGAGAACTAAGGAGACTCTTACCCTTACCTTTTAGTATCATAGTCAATTAAAACGTAGTTTTCCATAGCAAGCTTCAGGTCTGGAATTTCTTCGCAGACCCACCTGAAAGGAAAAGAGGGTGTAGGTGAAATAAATATGAAAATAACGTCCTGTCCCCCCAATCACTAGATCATTTCCTCCTCCTTTTGGCAAGCCCACCTCTGCCCCAAACACACCAATAATTTTGTCACCTTTACTTGTTTCTATATCCTGCCTTTCTCCCAAGTTGGGATCCGGGGCAGCTCCCGACACACAAAGCAGCAACAACAAACCCGGTTGACAAGAATCATTAAAATACAACTCGGCATACGCAGAGCCAGCAGTTCAAGTCCAGTTTGCCCTGACAGCAACCCTGTGGTCAGGACGGACTGCACCTCCGTTTCCAAAGGAAAATCTTAAGATTATCCTTCCAAAGGACAGCGTGGAGGTGCACACCTGAGGATCTTAGCACGCCAGGGAAGGTTTGCATAGTGACATTTTTCATATCTTTAAGACAGCCTGGTCCCAAGCCATAAATGGTTAGGGGATCACTGGCAGCCCAAAAGGCCAAAGGTGGCTACAACTGTTAGGTCTGTCTCGTCTAATTGTGTATTTTGTGGTTTTATATTCTGATTTCATCCTGTGAACCACCCTGAGACCTGCAGGTATGGGGAGGTATATAAATTCAATAATAAAGTATACTGCCATCTATGCAGGTAAAAGGTAAAGGAACCCTGGACGGTGAAGTCCAGTTGAATTCAACTATGGGGTGCGGTGCTCATCTCTGTTTTCAGGCCAAGGGAGCCAGAGTTTGTCCACAGACAGCTTTTCAGGTCTTGTGGCCAGCATGACTAAACTGCTTCTGGCACCGTGACGAGTGCCTGGAGCGCACAGAAACACCATTTACCTTCCCCGCCGCAAGGACCTATTTATCTACTTGTAGTTTGATGTGCTTTCGAACTGCTAGGTTGGCAGGAGCTGGGACAAAGCAATGGGATCTCACCCCATGGCGTGGATTCAAACTGCCGACCTTACAATTGGCAAGTCCAAGAGAGTCGGTGGTTTAGAACATAGCACCACCCGCATCCCCATCTATGCACGCTGTGATTTATAAAGAACGGGTATGACTGGTCCCTCTCCCAAGGTGTGAGATGGAACAGTGATCTGGCTCAGTAGAAGACAGCATGCTAGATTCTTGTTTAAACCAGACCTTTTACTGAAATTTCTGAGTAGGATCTCACTTGGTTTTTAAGGGAAGGGTAAAAGCCAAGGGTTTCCCAAACTTGGGTCTCCAGCTGTTTTTGGAAAACAACTCCTATCATCCCTAGCCAGCAGGACCAGTGGTCAGGGATGATGGGAATTGTAGTCCAAAATCACCTGGAGGACTCAAGTTGGGAAACCCTGGTCAAAGCTCAAGGGCAGAAAATGTTTTGACCGCCCAACACCTTCAGTCCTTTTCTAGGGGAGGCAAATGTGACTTTAAAAGTAATGAACCAATTCCTTCATACCAAAGCTGAGCAGAAACATGACAGCTCCCTGTCACTTTGGAATAGCAGGCATGTGACCTGCCTTCTCCAGACCAGCTAAACAATGCAACATACTGTACTCCTACTTAGCCAAAGATGTCAATAGCGGCTTTGATTCAGACTATTTACGAAAGCATGTGCCCTTTCCAAGACAGATATAGCCTCATAGTCTTATTCCCAGTTGGGGAATGAAAGGCACTTGCCCCACACTGGCTGATACTGGTCTGGGGACCCCGGTATGGTCCTGACCTGGTTATAAGGCAAACCTCCAGTGTTTTAGGCAAAACCGGGTTTTCATTTTAATTCAGGGTAAAACATGCACCATGTTGCAGGAAGCTGTGATTACAGAGGAAGGATATAAAAAGGAAAATCCTAGCAAGAACAGTGTCACTATCGCTACTGGCAGATGGGTTTCCCAGTTTCCACAAGCTGCAGAGGAGGGGTGGGGTGAAAATATCTGGTTGCAGTGCAGATCAGCTGCTGCTTAGCACCTACCGAATTGTCTCAATGATTTCGTGAGCAGCATCATGGTGTTTGTCCTGAAACAACAACAAAGAAAAGAAGGTGGTTTCAGGAACTGTCTGGAAGGAGAGATCACCCACTTTGGCTGGCGGATCACCAAGGCCCGTTGGCTTCTACAAACCCCTCATTATTTGCAAATACAGATAAATGAAAACTGGGCCAGGCGAGTGATCGAAAGTAATGTTTCCTACTAGATGCATGTGTTGCGGCTGTTATTTTAAAAGGCTAGCTCTACGCTATCGAATTTCCCTGTGCTCAAAGAGGACCCATTTCCAAAAACTTTCTTCTTGCAGAGATGGGGAACCTGTGGATCCTTCGGATGCTGCTGCAGCGTTTGGAATTAGCCAGGCGCATTTTGCGCCTGGATTTCAGACACTTGCGACCAAGTGAAGATGCCTGGGCACCGGGATGGCACCTGACGTCTCCGCCATCTGAAGGTGCATGCCTGGAGATCCTCGGATCAGGGCTGTTTTCACACACTAATACCCCATTCCTGTAGAATTCAATCCATCAATCTGCACCATCAGAATGAATTTCAGGAACCAAAATGCTTTCTCTGTGCAGCCTGAGCAGGAGCAGTCAGCATAAAGAAAAAGAGGTCGGAATGGGCCAATATATATGTGGACCACCCCTGGATCAAGTGACTGTTTTTCTTTAAGATCTCAAAGCTCTTAACCTGGCTCAAGGTTGTCCTCTGAACTAGCCAGATAATCAATCACGATCAGCCCATCATTTGAAAAGTTAAGTCTTTAGAGCCCCCTTGCCCAAAAATGGCTACTAGGCATTCTGTTTTGGCAACTGCAACCTTGGTTTAAGGATCCCTTTGGTCCCTATCTCACATAGCTGAGTTTCTAACGTTTTTGTTGGAAACAGCTGCTGGAGGGCGCTTCATTGGCTAACCCAGTACAGTGGACGCTCAGGTTGCGAACGTGATCTGTGCGGGAAGCACGTTCGCAACCCTCAGCATTCGCAACCCGCAGCGCTGCGGGTTGCAATTCGGCGCTTCTGCACATGCGCAAAGCGCGATTTAGCGCTTCTGTGCATGTGCACCCGCTGAAACCCAGAAGTAACCGGTTCTGGCACTTCCGGGTTTCAGTGCGTCCGTAATCCAAAAAAACGCAACCTGAAGCGTCTGTAACCCAAGGTATGACCGTAGTACGCAAGTAGGGAAGGAGAGAATTGCACAAAAGGCTGTGAAAAGTAAGGAGGCCTAGGCCGCAACAATTGCACGCCAAGTAAAATCTACACAAAGTAAAGAGTGGCGACCATTCACACAAAACATTTCTGCTTACAAAGCAAGCTCTGCAGTATGGCCAAGTGCAGCCACCGCCTCCTGGCTTAGAGCCGAGGAGGTTGTAAACTAGGCTTACAGATTAACCAGTACGCTAGGGGGAAACCTCGTTTATTTATCCAAATATTTATCTCCCGACTTCCAGGGTTTCCAAGGTGGCTTACGACATAATACACAGCCCAGTATTTATTTATCGAAAGACACACAAATAATAGTAATGGCAAAACTCAAGCAACAGTGAAGCGGTTCAAAGTTCACAGCTAGATAGCACCGATCATATATTTCACATCTTAAATAACCAGGCGTGAAAAGTGTCAGGCAAACAACCCCATGTACCCTCCTCCCCCTCTCCCCCTCTTTTCTTCCCAACCTAATAGTGCATGCAACACTAATGTCTCACAACAAATGTTACGGATCTGTAGAAAACACAACTGGAAAAAAGAGACAATGCACGGATTTTTGTAAACTAAGAAATCTTTAATATTTTTATTTTTTTTTAAGTTCAAGGCAGGGTGGAGCCCCTTTTTCGCTTTGTCAGGGGCCTCGGGGCTAATCAGCTGGGAAATTGCACTCCATTCGTGGGCAGAGCTGCCCCTCTTTTCTCTCACAAACACACGCACCTCTCCAACTACAACAACTATTTATATGCCTCCCATCTGACTGGGTTGGCCAAACCACCCTGGGCAGTTTCCAACAAATTAAAAACATTCATCACAATAAAACATCAAACACTGCAAACTTTTCTATGCAGGACTGCCTTCATATGTCTTCTAAAAGTCAGGTGTTTATTTCCTTGACATTTGACGGGAGGGCGTTCCACAGGGTGGGCGCCACCACCGAGAAGGCCCTCTGCCCAGTTCCCTGTATCCTCACTTCTCGCAGTGAGGGAACCGCCAGAAGGCCCTCAGTGCTGGACCTCAGTTTCTGGGCTGAACAATGCAAGGAGAGATGCTCCTTCAGGTGTACACACACATTCACACACACCTTCTCTACCCTCTTCCCTCTCCCAGCAGGCGGGAGGAACACTGATCACTTCCATGAGCACCTTTCAATATTCACTGGGGAAGGTGTTCCAAGGCCTGGGTGTCCCACAACCAAAAAGCCACCCCAACCCACCGTCTTGAGTAGCCAGCCTGAAGGTAGAATCACCCAGGGCAGGATGCCTGCAGGTGAACTTAATTTATATTCAGGCAGGATCCCCTGGGACTGAGTAGGCAAATGCCTTTTCTTCTTCTTTTAAGTTCTCAAAGCTATTAAGCGAGCTCAAGGCTGTCCTCTGAACTAGCCAGATGTTTAACTGAGAATCAATCAGTCTCAGCCCATCATATGGAAAATAAGACGTTGCAGCCGTCTTGCCCAAAAGGGGCAACAAGACATTCCGTTTGGGCGACTGTAACCCTGGCTCAAGGAGCCATTTGGCACCTAGCTTATCTTATACCTGAGTTTATAACACTGCCTGGGTGCCCCACAACCAAAGAGGCACCCCATCCCCCGGTCTCGAGTAGCCGCCACCCCCCCACCCCTTCTGAATGTACAATCTCCCAGAGCAGGATGTCTGCAGGTGAACATAATGTAGAGTTAGGCAGGATTCCCTGGGACTGAGTAGGCCAGGGGTCGGCAACCTAAGGCCCATGGGCCAAAGCGGCCCACGGGGGTCATTTAACTGGCCCACGAGCAGCCCCCGAACCGAGCCGCCCGCTTGGCGAGTCCCTGCATGCTGCGCTAAACCGGCGCAGCACAGCGACTCACTTCCGCAGCGCCAGAAATTGTGTCTGCGCAGACGCAGATGCTGGAAATCGCAGGCAGGTGCGCAATCTGGCCCACGGAGCAATCTCCAATGGAGTGAACCAGCCCAGGTGAGGTAAACCTTGCTAACCCCTGGAGTTATAATAATAATAATAATTTTTTATTTATACCCCGCCCTCCCCAGCCAAGGCCGGCCTCAGAGCGGCTTACAAGCAATAATAAAAACAAGAAGAATGATTACAACTTAAAAACAAAAATAAAATACAACATTAAAATAATGGAACATTAAAATATTAAAATGTAGCCTCATTGCAGGAGGAGAAGGGAAAGAAAAAAGAAAGAGAGGGAGGGAGGGAATCAAATTGGCTCCAAGCCAAAGGCCAGGCGGAACAACTCTGTCTTACAGGCCCTGCGGAAAGAAATCAGATCCTGCAGGGCCCTGGTCTCATGAGGCAGAGCGTTCCACCAGGCCGGAGCCAGAGTTGAAAAGGCCCTGGCTCTGGTTGAAGCCAACCTAACTTCCTTAGGGCCCGGGACCACTAGGGTGTTGCTATTTGTGGACCTTGAGGCTCTCTGTGGGGCAGACCAGGAGAGGCGGTCCGGTAGGTACGAGGGTCCTAGGCCGTGAAGGGCTTTAAAGGTCAAAAGCAGCACCTTAAATCTGACCCTGTACTCCACCGGGAGCCAGTGCAGCTGGAAAAGCACTGGGTGAATATGCTCCCATGGCAGAGACCCCGTGAGGAGCCTCACTGCAGCATTCTGTACCTGCTGGAGTTTCTGGGACAGTTTCAAGGGCAGCCCCGCATAGAGCGAATTACAGTAGTCAAGCCCGGAGTTGACCATCGCATGGATCACTGTGGCCAGGTCGGGGCGGGAAAGGTAAGGGACCAACTGCTTGATGCGGCGAAGGTGGAAAAATGTCGCCTTGGCTGTTGCTGTAACTTGCGCCTCCATGGAAAGGGAGGCGTCAAGGATTACACCCAAACTCTTAACGGAAGGCAGTGGCACTAATTGGGCCCCCACAAGAGAAGGGAGTTGGTCCCTCATCCCCATGCCATCCCGACCTAGCCATAGGACCTCTGCCAAGGCCTTTTCTTATTTCCAAATGTAAAAAACCAGTAGTGCCTGGGAACACCGTTAGAGGCCAGGGCAAATACAAACGGTTATCAAACCGGCAAGATCTGGGTGATAACCACGGTTAGGCAGGCAGGAGTTTTAAGAAACATATAAAGGCGGGATTAAAAAGTGAGTTAGTCGGCTCTCCCCCTCACGGCCCCCTGATTCCAGGCCTGCCATGAGCCACTGAGTGACTAACTCAGGGCAACTGGGACGCCTGCCCACGCTCTCTCTCTCTTGTGGGGTTTTACATGGAAGGGTGTCATTAACACCGGGCCTTACTCATCTCTGTGGTTAACCTTTAATGAAAATGTTAAGAAGCAAGGCTGCTCACTCACTTGCCTGGAGGGGAGGAACACCCACCCAAAAGGCAACACAGCAAACTTGGAACACTCATTTCCAAAAAGGAATTTGACTCAGCTCCTCCCCTGCCCCTGAAAAGGAACTAATTCGGTTCCAGTTCAATTCACAGGTCGTTCAAGACTTTTACAAACTGCTCTGCTAAATATAAAACATCCAAACACACACACACACACACACACACACACACACACACACAAATGGTATGTTAGCCATTGTTTTGTTTATTTTGCAACAATTTTGATCCTTGGGCTTCAAAAGCAGCATTGCTTTTCAGATGGGTGGAGTGACAACTGGACATATCACAGCAACCGCAACCCGAGGTTTAAGGTGCCATTTGGCAATTGGACTATAGCAGGGACGTCCGGCCAGTAGATCGTGATCTACCGGTAGATCCCCAGCTGATCCTGGTAGATCGCAGGATCATTATCATGTACAAAACGTTACAGAAGGAAAGTAAAAGAACTCCTCTCCTTAAAAAGCTCCACAACTCTGGGCAATCCA